TATGTCTCCCTTCCTCCTCTTCTTCTCTATTTCCCCAGTTAAATCATCCTTTTTGCTTCTGGATTGCCCTAAACCCCTCCTTGGCTTTGACCTCCTAAAGCTTGTCTTTAGATATGGATTTAATCAGATGAATCATCTCTGCTAATGGACCAATTAGCTCAGAAAGTGATATTTTCAAGTTATACAAATGCCTGGCCAACTTAAAAATGTTTATGCCTCCAAGAAGTCTAGGATAGCATTTTCAGGCATTATAGCAAGCAAGTAGGGAAAAGTATTAGCAAGGGAACCTCTGGTGCTTCCAGGTGGCTGTCTCATCCAGCCAGAACTGAGGACATGATCAAGTATATAAATAAGCAAGACTTCCACCACTCCAGACTATAGGAATAATAATGTCCTGGGTCTTGAATTGTAGGCTGAGGTTAAAATCAGGCCAATGGCAACTTTGGCTGGAGTACAGATAAGCATTTCAGCATCTCTACTTGTTGCTGGACAGAATTGTGGGAGAGTTATTTCTTCTGGTCTCCTCACCATCCTAATGAGCTAATACTGTCCAATGAGCAGTAAGTAATCACAAAGAATTCAAGGATGTTTAACACTTACAAAAGGCTTGATACAAAAAGTAGGAAAGAGGACCAAACATGGCATAATATTGGGGAAATCAAACCAATGGCCACAAAATTATAATTTCTTGGTCTTGACTTGGCTTTTTGCCATTGCAAATGACTACTTCACCATAATCATAATTTGCCTTGACTTAATAATTATAGTTTTGCTCTGGTGTTATAGAAATGCATATTCAACTATCCCAGTGAGAATGAACACCAAATTCACAGTATCTTATTTAAAGGGACCTCATAATGTAAACATCAAAACAATTTACCAGTGTTGGAAACTAAGAGGCAAGGGAAGTAACGGGGAAACAGTTATCTATGGATGGCAGTAATTAGGGCAGATCTGAGAATCATGCACAGACATTTAGCCATTACCCTACACACGCACGCACGCATGCACGCATGCACGCACACCACTCCTAACAGCATTTTTGTGACATCTCTTCCTCTTTAAACTTCAGTCTGACGTTTATTTTAAATCCAGGGCCCTAAAGTCCTGCAGAAAGAATGCCTCCCATACACTCTCCCCAAGGCCCTAGAAAGACCTGTGACACATAGTAAAAGGGCTCTCCTTAGAGCTGGCAAATGGGGCTTTTGACCCAGCCATGGCTAGGTACTGACTTTTAAGGTATTCTCCCTTTCTGGATACTCCACCATGATTTTCAGCCTCCCTACCTGATCATGGCCCAAGGATGCTGGATTATTACAACAGGATAGAATGAATCCCATGGTCAGCTAGCCTCTTCTTGACCCCAGGGGGACAACCTATCCCTCTGCATTTCTTTCTGGAATTAAATAATATGTGCAAAGCCCCTGGAACAGTGCCTTACCCCATAGTAGGGTGTATATAAATGGGAGCTAACATTATCATTAAGCCTATGTGAGCTGCTATGACCAATGAGAGAGTTCCACATGAGAAATAAAACTTACAACCCTGTCCCTTTTCACACTCACTTGGTATTCAACAAACGTTTGTGAGGAGCACTCTGAACACAATCCAGTGGAAGAGAATTAAAATAATTTCCATTGATGATGAAAAAGGTCTTTAATGTTCAGGCAAGGGCTCTGAGCCAAATTTAAACAGCTCTCCATCTGGTTACTTCGTTCTCATTCTATAGTGTTTGAATTCATCATTCATTTATTTTGCAAATATTTAACTTCATATTATGTGCAAGGATCTGTGCTTTGGAAGTCATCTCTTTAAAACATTTTATAACCCCACTGATATGCAGACTAACTGTAGTTTCCATTTGTCTTAGTTCAAGTTGCATTCAAATAAACAAGAACAGACTATGTGGCTTAGGCAATGAACTTTTATTGCTCACAGTTCTGGATGGTGAGAAATCCAAGTTCAAGAAGCAGACAGAGCTGACTCACACCTATAATCCTAGCTACTCAGGAGGCAACCCGATCAGGGAGATTGTGGTTCAAGGACAGCCCCAGGCAAATAGTTTGTGTGACCCTATCTCAAAAAAACCCATCACAAAAAAGGGCTGGTGGAGTGGCTCAAGGTGTAGGTTCTGAGTTCAAACCCCAGAACCACACACACACACAAAAAAGATGCAGACAGGTCCAGTGTCTGGTGAGGGTTCTCTGCCTGGTTTTCAAATAACTGTCTTCTCACTGTTTTCTTCTGGCAGAAAGGAGAGCAGAGAAAGGGAGGAAGCTGTTTCCTGTCTTTTCTCATTAAGGGCAGTAACCTCATCATGAGGGCTCCATCCTAATGACCTAGTTACCTCTCAAAGACCCCATCTCCAAATGCCACATTGGGCTTAGGGTTTCAACATATGGATTCTGAGTGGACACAAATATTCAGTCCACAGTACCATTGAATTCACACTCAATGGTTTGAGGTGCAAAAAGTTGACTCAGTAAAGTCCACATAGATTCATGAGTGGATCTAACACTGGTTCTGGGAGCCAGCACAGAATTTTAGGTTATGTCACTATTCACATGATTCACATAATTTAACCTCTCCAGGTCTCTGTTTTCCATCCAAGTAACAAATGCTCCAAACATCTCACTGAATAGTTGCAAATATCAAGTAAGATAAACTGAGTCAAAGTGTTGGGAAACTATAAAGTACAGAGTAGGTTGTTATGATAAAACTCTTCACCTATGGCTTTCTTTGGACCAAGTTCCAAAAGAATTCTTAACAGTATTGCAAATGACCTTCACCTATGCTGATCTCTGCATCTGGACACTCTCTTTGTCTTGTTCCTGGGCTGTCCTTCTCGAGTCTTATATCAAATGCTGCCTCCTCCTCTATTCATCCAATCGAGCTGCCTCTCTGTGCTCCCAGATGCCCTCTCCAAACATTCACCAGGGCACTTATGACACTGTTGTACAATTGCTTATCTAGCTCCCTAGTTACACTATAGGTTACTGGAGGGCAAAAACTGTGTTTTCTTTAATGTTTAGTCCCACACTGCATACATTAAAGCTACTCAAAAAATGACTGAATGGATGAATGTACACACCACCAGTCTTACGGGTTCTTTCTCTTAAACATTATCCTAAACCCATCTTGTCTTCTCCACACTTCCAAGGAGAGAAGACAGTATAGAATGTCACCGAGCATGTAGCCTCTAGAATCAGACTAACTGGTGGAGTGTCTCTGTTCTATTACCTGTTAATCAGGCAACAATGGGCAAGTTATATAACCCAGATTTATCTTAATTTTCTTTGTAAATTGAAGCCCTGGTTCCTGATTACTTCCAGAAAACCAACCTCTTTGTCACTGTGTAGAAAGCCCTTCATAGTCTGGCTCCCACCACCTCACCCATCTCCCCACAGCCAAGGCCCCACAGACACCCTGGCTGCCCACAGATCCCCAAGTCCTGTTCCCATACTCCTCCATTCCAGGAAGAGTGTACTATTCTCTCCGTCTGGACCGTGCTTTTACCTTGGTCATAGGGATTATTCTTTCTAACCCTTCATGTCTGAGCCTCGACATCTCCTCAGTCTTAGTGGTTATAATCACGGCCTCTGGAGAAGGGATTCAGTTAAAATTCTGGCTATTTCATTTATATGTTATATGACTTGGTGAGATTATTTGGCTTTTGGCCTACTGTTTTTTGCTATCTGTGAAATGGATGGGAAGAACCTATGCTGAAGGTTGTTCTGAGGATTATAGAAGACAAAAGCATCCTCAAGACCTGGTCACAGAAAGTCCTAATACTTGTTAGTTACTATACTGAATCCAGGAACTTTCCTAGCATTTTTCATATATCACCTTTCAATAGTCACAACAGAACAAGGCCCCACAGAACCCTGGCTGCCGACAGATCCCCAAGTCCTGTTCCCATACTCCTCCATTCCAGGAACAGCTGTACTATTCTCTCCGTCTGGACCGTGCTTTTACCTTGGTCATAGGGATATCTTTCTAACCCTTCATGTCTGAGCCTCGACATCTCCTCAGTCTTAGCGTGTTGATAATCACGGGTCTGGAGAAGGGATTCAGTTTAAAATTCTGGCTATTTGTTCATTTATATGTTATATGACTTGGTGAGATTATTTTGGCTTTTTGGCCTACTGTTTTTGCTATCTGTGAAATGGGAGTGGGAAGAACCTATGCTGTAAGGTTGTTCTGAGGATTATAGAAGACAAAAGCATCCTCAAGACCTGGTCACAGAAAGTCCTAATACTTGTTAGTTACTATACTGAATCCAGGAACTTTCCTAGCATTTTCATATATCACCTTTCAATAGTCACAACAGAATGCCTTAGGGAAATAGAGACTTAGAGCCAAATATAATCCCCTGGAGTCATTAAACTTCCAACAGCAAAGTTAAACTTGAACCCAGAACCTCATAAGCAGAAAAGGCTTGGCACACAGGCATGGGTCAGAGTACATAAGGAGCTTGCTCATGGGCTCACGACCAGTTACTCATCTATGCTAAACCAGATCTGATTCCAAAGTGATAGCTGGATCATAATTTGAAAGTCTAATAAGCTATAAGCATCAAAAAACAGAACCTGAGGAAGTAAAAAGGGTAGAGTCCTTCAAAGAAGTTGCGAAACCAGGCTTGGCCCTCCAATTGTGGGTGAGGTGATTCTTTAGGCAAAAAGGAAAAGGTAGAGGTGAGAGAAAGGAGAAAAAAAAAAGGGAGAGAAACTATCTAATCCACCCCATACAGAAATAATTTTATTCATATTCTAATGAAGGAGCTTTTTAACAGGGTTACAAAAACTCATGAAAATATAAAATAATGTTACATTTATGGGACACTGAAGACCATCAAATGTAACATTTGAAATGATTTATTTATAAAATACTGATCATTACAAATAATTCACTTCTTAATGTTTTTACTTTCACTAGATAGATCACAATTCATTTTATAGTCAATTACTTAAATCCAGAGTCCTTCCCAATATGACTTAATTTTCTTAAAAGGAAAAACACTTTATTTTCAGTAGAAAAAAATTTACATGTCAAAGTCAAAAACAATCTCAGTAAAACTGGAAATCAGCCACCATATCTTTTCTTGAGTTCTTCAAAAGAATTATCCTTTAATCCTGATTTGTCTATATGATTGAATAATACATGTGCAACTGAAAAAGAAAAAAAATTTCCATTTTAATCTCATTTTTTAAAAACTCATCAAAATATAAACTTAAGGGAGTAATCTGATCAAATAAAAGCAATTAATACTATTTATAAACTGAAATTCACATATTTAAGAAGCCAATCTGGGAATAAAAAAATATTCAGCAATCCAAAAATGTTTCTTTCAGGATATTTTGATTTAGCAGCATAAAATTTTCCCTATAACTTCAATGACATTAACAATGAAGATTAATCTTAACTCATTTTGTATTATACTAAAAAGTTTTGCCCTAATATCTTTATTCAATTAACTGCTTTTCAAATGCAAGTTATTTTAAAATTTTATGTTACTGAAAATCAAAAATCAGCAATGACAGTTGTGAATTCACATCTGATGGGCTAGTCATACTTTTTAGATTACATAATGGTTAAATCATCACTCTTAAAACCGAGTGGTCCAATCTCAATGTTTGAGAACAACATTGTTATAGTCCATGCATCTTAACAAACTGGAGAACAAGTTAACCATTATTAATGTTAACTACAATAAAAACAAGTTACAACAGTTAACATTTACTTAATGCTTAGTTACATGCCAGAACCAATCTAAGTGTTTCCCATATTTAACTTAGCAGACAGTGGATATTGTTGGTAGTGTGGTTTGAAGAGCCAGCTCACATTCCCTGAGTACACCTGAACTTATGAGAGAGAGAAGAAATTCATTCAGCACGTTTATCCTCAGAGGTTCTTTATGGAATGGCACCAAGGCCTAGTGAACAGGTAGACAAAGCTCCTGCTTTAATGGAGCTTTTGTTCTGTTACAAAGAGAGAACTAATCAACAGTGAAATCGTAAACATAACAGTAAATAACAGTGAACATGGAATAGTGAGTGTCAGCTCACTGTATAAGGAAAAAAAATTAAGCAAGGTAAGACAACAGAGTAACAGAAATGGTAGGAAGCAGGCAGTTATTTTAACCAGGCTGCTAAAGAAAGGGGTCTTTGAGGTGATGGCAGCATGATGAAAACTTAGTGAATCAAGGGAAGCACCCAAGGTGGAGATACATGAGAAGGTATTCAAAGCTAAGGGAGCAGTCAGATACAAAGTCCCTGAGGTCAAAATAAGTTTGGCATATTAAAAAATACAAGTCATTATGGTACAGCAGAGTGATTAAGGGGAAAAAAAAAAAAGTGGTAGGGGCTAGAGATGTAGCTCAGTGGTAGAGTACTTGCCTAGTATGTGCAAGACCCTGGGTTCTATCTTATCATCAGAGGAAAAAAAAGTGATAGAAGAAGTCAGAAGAGTGATAATAGTAGTATTTATCAAGAATTTCAGGGGATGCTTTTGGTTAACTAAAAATAAAGAGAAAGCTTTTGGGTTAAACCTTTAAAAAAAAAAAAAAGTTCCTAAATTATATGCCTCCTTCCCTAAATAAAGAATGTATTTCTCTTTTTGTTTGGGTTTTTTTTTTTTTTTTTCTGCTTTTGGTTTGTTCTGTTTTGCTTTGTTTTGAGATAGAGTCTTGCTATGTAGCCCAGGCTGGCTCAGCCTCCTGAACTTGCCATCCTTCTGCCTCTGCCTCCTGAGTGATAGGAATACAGGAGTACAGCTAACAGTATCTTTCTAACTGATTCAGAATCATTCAGCATCACCACTAGCAACATAAATAAATAAGAAAAGGTGAAGATAGGTTGGAGTCAAACGTATGCTTAGTACAAGAAGCATCTGAATATGGTATAAGGAATTTTTGCTAATCTTTAAAACCAAAATTGTACACTGGAGCATGGCTCAAGCAGTAGAGCACTTCCCTAACAAGTTCAAGGCCTGGAGTTCAATATACAGTACAGCAAAAAACCAGTAATTATGTAAGATAAACTGGCATTCATGTATTTGAATGATTTTTCTCTTTTTCCTCAAAACAGAATATAGCCCAAAACTCCTGAGTAGTTGAAATTTTTGCACAGTTTGATTGTACTTTAAATTAGGGTATCCCCAAACTGACCTTTTATGGCAGACAAAGATGTGGACAAAATAAGGAATATAGCTCTTCAAACTCTTCCCCCCTAACTCTATAATCCAACCACACTGTACTTTTAATTCTCTGAACTTTGTGTGTTATTGCTTCAGAATTTCTGCCACATATCATTCTCTCAATCCAAAACTTTATCTGACTGATGCCTGTACTTCTTTGAAAATTCAATTGAAATAAAAAGTCACAGAAAGTACCTCTCTCAGAATGAACTGGATGCCCTCTTGGTGCCCAGCCCAGTTACATGTGTCTGTAGCGGTACCCTTTATACGCTCCATAATGACAGGAGCTCAACCACTGTACTTTACTGCACTTCCGCGAAGGTCCCGGGCCACAGAACTAAACTGCCTGGTTTCAAATCCTGGGTATGGCGTAACTATGTGACCTTGATCAAATTCCTAACTTCTCTATGCCTTCACTTCCTCCTCTGTAACTGGAGAACAGAAATAATACCTATACTGAATAATATTGTCAGGATTAACACATATAACTTTAATTGTACCTAGTTCAGCTGCACTTCAATTAATTATAGTGAATTTACATTTAATTGTATATACCTCATATATAGTAAACAGTCAGTAAGTGCTATCATTCGCTGAATAACAAAGGAACATGTAAGAATAAGTAAACTTGGAAAAGCTCTTTCTTAGAACTTACTCTTTTTCTCAGGTTCTGACATAAACATCACTGCCATATCAAACCTTTTAGTTCAGAAAGTCTTTGTAAGATTTCAAAAATGAGTGAAGGCTTTTCTTTCCTAAAATAATCCAGATGTAAAAAGAAATGATCATTAAAAGTAGCTCATTTAATTATGTTTACTAACACAATAGTTCTAATTATACATAAAGTCTTCATTTTTTTTTTTCCTGGATACCGTCTATATTTTAAACACCCAAATAAAGAACTTCTTCAGTCATCTGAAGAAGTTTTTAATACTGAATGAGAGCTTAGTACAGAAATTATTGCTCCGTTCTAAACACTGGTCACTTCCACACTCTATCGTCTCTACAAAAATAGTAATAATAATAATAATAAGCCTTTTTTCCTCTCAGTTAAACTTTTGGTTTTTTTGTTTCTATTTGTTATCTCTTTACAACTTCTGTAACAGTAAAATTTACTAGAAATCTAATTGTTATGTACAAAGTATCAATATGAATATCAAAGAGAATGAATTATCCAAATATAAGAATATAACTGAAAGAAGTCAACTTACTCAATGTAAAAGTCATGTAGAATTTTAATGATTTGGTTGAATACATCCGGATCTAGATTTTTCTGAAATAACTTAGGATACAAGGATGGTTCAATTTGCTTTGGAAAAATAAGAGTCAGAAAATTAAAATCTGGCAACATTTGAATTTCACAAAGTTATGCAATTGCTTAGGTAAAAAGAGTACTACACACCGATACTTAATGAATAATAACTGGGTCATATTTAAATGCAATAATAATAACTGAATAATGGACATGAGAGGAACTGCCAGATAATCACTTTGTTTTAGTCAGAGAAAAATCCTATGAACAGAAAGGATAAATACCACTCTAAGAGAGGCAGGAAACTTGACATAGCTCTTAACCATAACCAGAGACTTTTAAAAAAAGTAGAATGACATGAGAATTACATTTGGAAGTAATTGTTTATTACATAATTATAAGGGAGTGCTACCATAATTATACTTGAAAAAGACTATGTTAATCTATCATTTGCTAAATTTCTTTTTTTTTTTGCAGTACTGGGGTTTGAACTCAGACCCTACACCTTGAGCCACTCCACCAGCCCTTATTTTGTGATGGGATTTTTTTTTTTTTTTTTTTTTTTTTTTTTGAGATAGGATTTCATGAACTACTTGCCTGGCTGGCTTTGAACTGGAATTCTCCTGAGTGGCTAGGACTATAGGCATGAGCCACCAGAACCCAGCTTAATTCTTTTTCTTGAAGAAATAAATGCTCATTTTCAGGAAAACAACAGCTTAAATATTACAAGCATTGCTTGACCCACAGAAGACATTCAATGTATTTTAGCTTCCTTTCCACATCTGGGGCTGGAGGGATGGCTCAAGTGGTAGAGCACCTGCCTAGCAAGTAGGAGGCCCTGAGTTAAAACCCCAGAACTGCCACACACAAAAAAAAACTTTCCACATCTTGAAGGATGAAGGATTAAGCTTAAGCTCTGAGACATGACACTAGATTTTAAGTTATTTTACACCCTAGAATTTAGCAAAAACCTATTTCCAAAGGAGAATCATGGTTCCCTGGTGGCAAATATTTATAAATGACCTGGTCAGGATGATGTATGTGCCAGGCAAGGGATAAAAGCATTTTCTGGAATCCTATCATACAAAAGCAAATACGATAGCACTATTATTATACGGTGATCAAAAGTTCTTTGGATTAGAGGTGTGGCTCAAGAGGTAGAGTGCCAGCTTTGCAAGTGAAAGCCCTGAGTTCAAACCCCAGTCTCCTTCAAAGAAAGAAAATAAAAAAATAAACATTGTTTCATCTTTTACTCCTAACAGAACTATTAGCTTCCTCTCTCTTACCTTTAAATACTGATACAACATATCTGGAGAACTTTTCAGTTGTCTGAAATCAGATTCAAGCTGGAATGAGTTGGTAGGAATTGGAGGGAGAACAGGTGTGACAAACTGAGAAGGTGTTTGTTCCACCTTTATAGAAATCTTCTCACTGAAAGACTGACACACGTCCTGTTTCAAATTAACTTGAGGTCTGAAATATTTGAGGCAATCAATGAGTTAAAAAAAACCACAGTCAAAACTCAATAAAGGAAATAGCAAGAGATTTTAAAATTTCTGACTTCATTAATATGTGCGACTATTTGTGGTCTATAAATATTAAATTCTTTTACTAATTATACACATACATATTTTAGGGCAAAACAGAGTCTGCCCTTGTAAATTTTCACACTGCTAGGTAATGATTATAGTCACCTGCTGGATGACTAGCGTGGACACCCTTGGAGCACATCAACTCTACTGCATGGCTGTATCACAGATACTACAACTCAGCTTTCCAGAAATCTAAATTATCATAGTTTCAAGTATTTCAAGAGGGAAGAAATGCTTCTTAAAAAAAAAAAAAGCTGCATATTTAGTATTTTCCACAATCCATACTATCACCTTAAATAAAACTATTACTAGAGTACAAAATTTAAAACAAAAAAAAGCTTTTCATAGGTATGCTGAGTAGCAGTGTAATACTATATATAAACTAATATGTAAGACTAATCAATAGCCCAAAAGAAACCTAGTTAGTCTCTATCTTCTATTTTTTATCATTAAGGAAATACACATGAACTATTTTTAATTCCAAACAAAATTTAAAGAATGCCCAACAGTCTTCAATATTAATGGAAGGAGTAATAGTAAAGTCATGAACTTCCTTTTAAAAAGTTAAAATTTTTTTGAATTAAATAGTGAAACATACATACTGAAGTTCTAGAAAAGAAAATGAACAAAATCAATCTGATCAAGATACTTCTTATCATCTATAAATCATCTGAGTTGCCCTATGGTAGAGGAATAATGAGTATTTCTTTAGCAAAATCTCTCTTGCAGTAAGTCCAAGTTAAAAAAAAAAAAAAAAGCCTATAGTTAGGCAGTTTAAAAATTAGAGTGATAAGTCTTCTCAATCATATTTTCTAGTGAACTGTCCTCATGTTAGATAACTATCAAATTAACAGCATTCTACTCACTGCAGAGCTGAAGTATCACTGATTTCTTCTATTTTCAATACTTTTGCTCTTGGAGTATCACTTGTGGGCAAAAGGTCATCCTGGCTTGAATTCTTTTTACTTGCAGTGCCTGTGGCTGCTACCACATTTGCTAGATTAATAGGATTACTCTCTGGAGCAGCAGCATCTCGCACATCAACAGTCTGTATCAAATTACCAGTTTCTTCAATTATAACCTTCTTGAGTGGTTTCTAAAACAATTAAAATCAATTCTTTAAATCAACATATTACAAGTTTCCCCTTTTATGGTCACAAGTTAAAAGACAGCTGTGTTCTAACAGCTAATATCCCAGTTATAGGTAAATTCAATTTGGTGGCCAGACAGGCTTAGGAATTATACTGTCTGAGAATACAAAGAACAGAAAGCTATGTACCTAGACAGGTCTAAACAAAGGGAGAGAGACATTTATTTAGTTATTTATTTATACACATAAATAATTACAAGGCAATAGTATATATAAAAGATGAATGTGTAATATGCCAAAAAAAAAAATACAGGAAGGAATGGCAAAGTGGAGGGTGGTCAATGGGCAGGAGGTAGCCCAGTGGAGTTGGCACAAGGGAAGGAGTAGTGCAGAGAAAGCCTGGAAGGCTGCTTGAAGTCAGTTACACAGAGCCTGTGGGCCAGGTCAAGGAGTCTGGACTCTACCTTCGAGGCAATGAAGAACAATATAACCATACCAACGACAGAACTGTGAGCTAACTTACAGAAATAGAATACGGGCAGATAACAACCCATTATTATACATGAAACAGGCTAACATGAAAACCTAAGTACATTCACTATGTAGCAGCTGAATAAAATCAGCCAAGGTTACAGGTCTGCCAAGTAAGACTTACAAACTTGGTAAGAGTTATTCATAATGGATTTCCAACTTAATATATGGTATTCACTGTCTATTTCAATATCAAGTATTTTCAATTTATTAAGTTTACAGTTTTATATGCAATAAAACGTAAGGATAATCTTCACTAGATCACACTAGACATACAGAAATACACTGAGGAGCTACTGTTCTACCAGAGGTATTGACAATGAAATAGGTAAGAAAAAGTCCTAAAATTTACAAATATTGGTAACAGTTGCAACTTTGGAACAAAAAACAGGAGTTTACTTTTTCTTTTGTATTATAGCCAAAATTTGATTTAAAAAAAAATAAAAGAGGAAAAACTTTCCTCGGTATAATCTAAGTGTTCATTCTAGATACATAGTTGAATCATTAATGAAAAAGTAACAAGAAAAAACTCCTGACACATAAACTCAATGTTAGAACCAGACATTTTTAGCTGTTACAGCTAAGGTAAGATCTACTGATAACAACCAAGTATTAACTGGATGAATGTACACAAATGAAGACTAAAAGCAAATTTGTAACAGAATCCTGTTCCATAGTTCTATTTTAAAGAATAATCATGTTAAGTTTAAGAACTTTGCTTTCCTGAAAACTATACCCACAATTGTTTATCTTAAGATACTGACCAAAAACCGACCTGTATTTATAATGTGGTCCCACTGAAAACCAAATCCTTCCATTTTCAAAAGATGTGCAATATGACTCTAATTACCTTATTTCCTAATACACAGTCTTTGTCGAATATAGACCAGCGGGTACTCAAAGTCACTGAGGCCAATGATGGCTAGGTGGTAATGTGGAAAGAGGAGCATGATAACATAGGTGAACAATAAAAGACACCATATGGGAAGAAAGGATTTAAGAAAATATGAGCTCAATTCATTCCTTTCTAAAAAGTAAGGCTCAAAAGTATAACATTTTATTTACCTCTGTATTTCAAGAGGGAAAAAAAAAAAAGAATAGAAAAGAAAGAAAATGAGACCAAGTAAAAAGGCAAACTTTTGACATGAGGAAACAAAAAAATGAGTAAATAAATAAAACAAAATAGCTAGACCAGGTGTGGCAGGTGTGGTATAATCCAAGCACTTGGGAGATGGATGCAGGAAGATCACACAGAGACTAAGGAATCAAGTTCCTAGTTTCCTAGGAACTCCAGATACCCTGCCAATCTCCATGTCTGCTTCCTAACACTTCTACAGGTTTGTTAAAAGTACTTCCAGGCTCCCAGTCTTCTAAGCACAGACAACTGAATAATCTCAGTATACCATCTCTATCTCTGTCTCTCTCTCCCCACTTTCTGCAGCCTTGCTTTCTTTCCTGACTACTTTTCCAGTGACCAGGTCGTCTCATAAATGAGGAGACTAAAAAGGAAATTAAGTTCATTTTAACCTGAAATTGCCTTAGCATCTATGCACATTATTTCTTGAAATATAAACTAATCCATGAATTATGATCAGCTTCAAAAGGATATGGTAACACTCAAGATTTCAAAGTTTATAAAGTGGGCCTCAAATCAAGTTTCAAAGGCCTATACCAAATTTCTACCCTCTAGTTTTTAAAAATAATGCCCACATTTTTATAATCGGATCTCTATTATAAAAATAAAGTCATCTTTTTCTCAATGTGATGCTAATTTTGTTTGTGGTGGATCATTTACAAAATGGTTTGTACTCAGACTTCTCAATTTATAAAGGTTTTGAACTACTCACATAAAAGACTTAAATTCATGTTGCAATTTCATAACTATTAACATAAATTGATTTTTAAAGTGACAGAAGTCAGCAAACTTATAAAAGCTGCTTAGGGTATAATGATCATGAGACATTACATATACAAATATTTGATTTCCTCATGACAATGTCTTTATAATTATGCACAGCAATGTCTAATAAAGGCTTTTTGTAAACTTGTGAATTCATTTCTGTGAAAAAGTCTTACAAAGATGTCAAAGTTTAAATCACATTAAATTGAACATTTAATCACCTTTACTGAAAAGAATGAAATAAAAGCAAACGACTATAATATACAAAAGTGAATATAATGTATGGAAGCAAGTAGATTTATGCCTAGCACATGAAACCAGTGTCATCCCAGAAAATACAAGAGCCTGGTCATAATAGAAACCCTGGAAAAGTATCAGACTAAGAAATCTTCTGTTGGTCACAAACCTGAAACATGAAAAGAGCAAAACTAACTTCCTTTGTCTCGCACTCATCTTTTACAAAAGAAGGATATGAATACCTGCTCTTTCTTTTATCATTTATTTCTATCAAAGACTCATTCAGGGCTGGAAGAGCAGCGCAAGCACCTATCTAAGAGAGCATGAGGCCCTGAGTTCAAACCCCAGTGCCACCAAAAAAAAAAAAAAAAAAAAGACTCATTCATGCCTAACAGTTATTTCTAATTGATCTGATCAGTGAAGGGCACATAGGTTTTAGAGGAAAGATAACTCAATTTTTTTTATCTGTTTAGTGGTTTCCTGGATTTTCACTTTATAATTATTCTTTAAATCTTAATTTGCTTGTGTACTTTTCTGTATGTATTTTATAATTTTCCATATTTATACTAAAAGTACTATGCAAATATTAGAAATTACCATAGAGTCACATCATAAATACATTTGCCTTAAATGAATTCAACTTCAAGGGCTGAGCACAAAACAAACTGCTAAATTCAAGCCAGCTACTCTTTCTGGTCCAATACTGCAAGAAAGACACTAGCCTTGTTAGGACTTATGATGAACACTATAGTGTGTGCAAAACAATGCACAATGTATGTTTTTAAGGATAATTTTGCCTAAACTAGGTTTTTGCCTTACAAGCTGATTTGAGAGCTAACCCCTCACAAGACATCTGGTTGTTAACAGTAAGAACTCAACCCTAAAAAATCATTAATAAAAATACAAAAATGCTTGATTACTGTAAAATATAAAGCTGCTTTAAATTCTTTTATAAGAAAAATATGTAGAAATGTTTACATGAAGTATTAAATTAAGTTACTCTAGAAATTTAGATAGTTGAATTCTCCCTAATTTTATTATGTCAATAAATCCCAGGAAGCATTTCTGAAAGATTCTAATATCCCTTACCAAGTTTGTTTTCAATTCTAATAACATGACACTGAAATGGCAAGGAAAGGGGCTGGGGCTGAGGCTCAAACGGCAGAACACTTGCATAGCATGCATGAGGCCCTGGTTCAATCTCCAGGACCACACAAAAAAAGGCAGTGAAAAAAAAATTAAAATTCTTTACTTACGGTTGATCCAAGATGAGGTGATTTATCACAGGGTTTTACCACATTTTGCCTTTGTGTGGAATCAAGAAAGACATCATCCCAGTATCCTTTCTCAATTAATTCCTTGAAAATAAATTTGAAATCCTAACTATCAAAATATTCTCAAGTTAATTATGCAACCAATAAATGTGCATGTTTTAGGAAATAGGACCATACGCTGGTGAAAAGAATACATTACCTTTTTAATTTTGGAAAGTTCAGTTACTGCCTGTTTATTTCCAGGTTCCAGAAGTAAAACAGTTTCAAAATCTAAAGTGAATTAAAAAGAATACAATAAGGCAAAAAAATACCTTGTGAAGTTCAAGACACGATACATTTAGCTAGTAATCCTATTTCTATCTCAAGTTTACTCAGGACACTAAGATACAGGTGAGCAATAATAAGAACTAACATTACCAAGTGCTGTTCTAGTTGTTTTTAAATGAACACTTTCTACAACCTCATTTTACAGATGATACAACTGAGACCTAGAGGTCATCTACCTTACCAAAGTTCACACTGTGAACAAATAACAGAGTAACTCGCCAAACCTAAGACAGAATCTGAGAGAATGTCAAACACTGGAATATTATTCAAGCTTAAAAAGGAACGAAATTCTAATACATTCTACAAGGATGAACCTTGAAAACATGCCAAGTTAAATAAGTCAGACATAAAAGGACAAATACTGTTCTGATTCCACTAACATGGGGTATTTTAAAATAGTCAAATTCATGGAGACAGAAAGTAGTACTAGGGGTTCTGGAGAGAGGAGAATAAAGAATTATTATTTAATGGGATAAAGTTCTAGAGATGGACAGTGGTCGTGATTGTACAATACCGTAAATGTACTTTTACTTAAATTTTACATTTAAAATGGTTAAAGTAGTAAATACATAATTGTACATATCTTATACACACACACAGGAGGAAAAAAAAAACCCTCACAGGTTGCAGTTAAAACCAGGATAGAAAGAAACTATAAGATTTAAATACACATACCAGAAAAAAAAGAAAGGCTGAAAATCAATTATATAAATATTGAACTACTAAATTCAAGAAGTAAGGAAAAGGTGAATATGATCAAAGCATACATTTGCATGTGTGGAAATACCACAATGAAACCCCGACACTGTACAATATGTGCTCAAAAAAACCCACAAATTAAACCAAAAGATGAAGGAATAAAATAAAGACCAAAAATAAATGAAACAAAACACACGTCAGAACTAAGTCAGTGCTTTGAAAAGAGTAATAATAAAACGAGTATCTAATAATAAATGAGTATCTAATAATAAAATGAGTATTTAATAATATGAGTATCTAATAATAAAATAATAAAAATAATAAAGTGAGTATCTAATAATAAAGTAAGTATCTAAAAGAGAACAGAAAAACAAGTGTCTAAAAGAGAAAAGACTAATAATAAAATGAATATCTAAAAAAGAACAGAAAAACAGAAATTTCTTTTCATTCTTGCCTTCGTCTTGCTTTTTCTTCTCATCTACAATTCAAATCCTTCATTAATTTCAATTGGCAATTAGCCAAAGAAAAAGATAACCAGGTGTGCTATATGGAAGGTGTAGTCCTTCAAACTTATTCATGCTGAACTATAGAAAGAAAGTGTACTTCACTAAGTTTAGTATCCCTGAACCATGGGAGAGATATATAAATCTCTGCTTTTATACTTTGGGGCATCAGAATAAGTGTGTTAATAAAAGTTTTACCTTGTTTAGCCTCATTTATCTTTCCCAAAAATGTTCTTGCAGTTCCTCTTCTGGCAAAAGCTTTAGAATATGAGCCATCTAACATAATAGCTTGTGTGCAATCTCTTTCAGCTTCTTCGTATCTATTGAACATGATTAAATTACCAACTGGAAAAAATGCAGTTTACATAAACTAAGTTTTTATCACATAAACTAGAGCTTCTCATTTTAAAAGCATGTATATAATTTCAATTACCAGCTCCAAAGTCAGTGTTTTGAGGGGGAAGACTATTTTTGAAATTTTACATTCTCACTAAATCTTAGTGCCATTTGGTAAAGAGGGAGAAAGTACCAGACTAAGGTAAGATAAGGAAAGAATCTGTAAGAAGGATGGAATTTATGATGGCAAAATGTGAGCAGAGAAGACAGAAGAGGACCATTACTGCACATCTAGTCTCCAACCTTCAACATGAAGAAGTACTATGTTATGATTATAACTGGCATTAGTTTCCTAATAAAACTTCATTAAAGCCAGGCACTAGTGGCTCATGCCTAGCTACTCAGGAGGCAGAGATCAGCAGGACTGCAGTTCAAAGCCAGACTGGGCAACATAGTTCACAAGACCCTATCTCAAAAAAACCCATCACGAGAAAGGTCTGATGGAGTGGCTACATGGTGTAGACCCCAAGTTCAAGCCCCAGGACCACAAAAAAAAAAAACCTTCATTAAACTTACCCATAGTTTATACCATTTAAGGAAAAATGACCCACATATGATATGCATAAATACTACTCAGCCATGCAAACAGTAGTCAATTAAGACTGAGTGGATACTGCTCTATAACAGAGTTAAGAACAGCCTAAAACACATACACAAGGGTTGAGGACACAAAAGAATTAGTTAATAGAGTGCTTGCCTAGGCACACAAGACCATGAGCTTGATCCCCAGCATTGCAGAATAAATAAATGACATAAAATCTTCGGACCCTCCACATATTAAAACAATAATGAGCCAGCTACTTGGGAGGCAGAAATAAGAGGTTTACCACCAAAAAGAAAAATGAAACCCTATCTCAAAGAACAAGCTGGAGGGATAGGTAGGAGAATCAGTCTGCGGCTGACCTGGGCAAAAAGCATGAAACCCTATCTGAAAAATAAGGCAAAAAGGGATGGATGCAGGCATGGCTCAAGTGGTTGAGCTCTTGGCCTAGCAATTGCAGGCTCTGAGTTCAAACTCCAGTTCCACCAAACGGGAACAAATTTAAAAAGCAACATCAATGAATTATTGTTAATTAGGAGTGATAGTGATAATGGTATTGCAGTTATGTATGAAACAACCTCTTCTTTGGAGATGAAATGTTTGTGTTTTGCTTTATAATAATCTAGGGGCAGACACGGTACGGCTTGTTAAGACTAGATGAACTCACACTACTTTCATGAAAGTTTGAAGTTACATAAGAGTAAGAAAAAAAGGGAATCTCCTGCTTCCTGAGGCCTAGATGAATGCCATCCTTCTCACAAAACAGACCTCAAATGAACACAATCAGAATTTCTAATGAACTTAAACATCTCTGATTTCTTTAATTCACATTTTAGCAAAAGAGAAAGAACATGTCTGTGCGTTCATGCTCTTACCAACATATTTTCTACTAGCCTGATGATATCATTCCCCCACTTTAAAATACTTACATAGCCTCTCACTTTCTGGGATAAAATCATTCCTTTACAGAGCGAAGTGAGAGGGTTACCTATCTCTCTAAGCCACCGGTGCCGTGCATAGCAGTCATACTGACCACAAACTTTCCCACTCGCATCCATGTCTTTGAATCTGCACTAGGACACTCAACCCATGTTTCACCTCACCCATACTTCATCAGAAGTCAATTTCAGTCTGAACGCCTTGAGTTACTTTCCATAAATCCCCCAACCTACGCTCAGTCTGCTGGTATTATTCCCACCTTGCATGCCATAGTCCATGTCTCTTGTAGCATTAACATAGTGTATTTTAATGTTTAGTCCCTTTTCTGTCTCTCCCTCCAGACAACAAGTTTCTTAAAAACAAGTCAATGTCTGCACACTTAATACCTTCTAGGGTTCCCATGAGGATACCTAACACATTTAGCTCAATAAATGTTTGCTGAATAAGGAGTCAGAAAACCTCCAAACCCTAATTCAAAGAAAATTCAGAAGATGAATGTTTAGAAAACCATTTTAATTGCATATTTAAAAAGAATGTTCTGTTGTAGAGCTAACAATTATTCTAACCATCTAACAATTATTCTAAAAATCTGAAATTTACATGCAGTTAGATAATTACTCTTTGAAAAATTGTCTCATGTAGTCTTTTAAAATCATTAAATATCCCTTATGTACTCCAAGTAAGTGTAAACTGGATTTAGTAAAGACCAATTTATAAACACATTTTAATGGTGGGAGAAAAAGACAAACCAATCAAAAATAGAAATAAAGATGGTTGGCTCAGAAAATATACAATCCCACTGCCTAGCCCCCTAGCCTTTGAATCTCTTCTGACCTCAAGGAGGTCTGCTTGCTCTAGCACTCCTCCAGCTCTAGTTTCCATCCATCCCTAACAGCATTAAGTGAGCACTCTACAAGACCAAGTTTTATTCTACTTCCAGTTCTAACAGCCAAGATGCTAACTTATTTTTGTGATCAACCCTCAACCCTGTTTCCTACATCTAGCATCTAATACTATTAGGTTCTTTCTTCTAATCCTATCTCTAAATCAATGCTTTACTTCAAGAATGTGACCCAGACGAGTTCTTCATCCTTCTTCAGTAACAAGAATCTTGTCCCAAACTTTATCCCCATTTAAAAAAAAAAAAAAAAAAATCTGAAGCTAACCATCTACCAGCCTACATGCCACAATTTGCCAGCTCACAGACCCTTCATTGCTGTAACTCAAGGATGCCTCCTGATCTCCCTGATACCAACTGACATAAACTACCACCTCTTTCAGAATTCTCCACAGACCCTGGCTGTCCTAAAGAGGCAAACTTCCTACTCTCTTACTGTTACACCACATACTGGTGACTATTCTGCTGGTTCTCTTCTTCCAGTCAATCTGTCACCTCTAATTTGACACATAGTTTGTAGGAACTCAAGCTATAAGACTGTTACCTAAACAAAGAATATAAGTTTGAAAAGTTGCTCCTTTGTATGTTCTTCTTCTAGTCTGCAATATATGACAATAGTCTTCATAAAGAAAACTTGACATCAAGTGTGAATCCAAAAGCTATACTACAAAGAGATAAACAAGAGTCATATAGTTCTTTCAATTTAAAATATACTCTGCTAAACTTATATACTACTAAAGCAATAAAACTAACACAATAAATTAGAGCTCCTAAAAATGCAGATACAACCTTTCACAAGGTATGATTCTTGGCATTAGACAAACTAAAGAATTCAGGCCTTAAAATTTTTAAGCCAATGCACAATTCTTGAACAGCAAGATTAAAATTTTCATAAGCTATTAAGAGACAGAAGACCTTCTTTCCTTTGACTAACCAACAAATAGTGTGTTTATTACTTTAAATGGGATTAAATATACAACATCAAAGTTTACTTCTGTAACAGGGATTCCTAACCTGAGGTCCTTTGAGGAATCTGAAAACTTTGATGGAAAAAAAAAATTATACCCATATTTTCACTCATCTTTATGTGAAACTTAGTTTTCTTTCAATTATAAATACAGGCAACCAAGTGCTATACCTATATCTTTGTCACCAATAAAGATCACAAATATTTTCATATCACAGTATAACTGCTATATATACCTTGAAACAGTGCTTATGCTCACCACAATTTCAGAATTACAGTAGTAATTTAATCTGTTGCTTGTCTGCATGTGACGGCAGTATCCTATCTATAGATACTCTTGTAACATCACTGGCCAACAACAGGGAAATGTGGCCCTCAGCAGTCATTCAGACACCAAAGTATGAAGTCATGTGCTAGCACACTGGTAACCTAATCATCTATGTTGCTTTTGGGTATTTCTTATCCACTTGTTTATTGATCAATATGTGGAAGATGTGTGAAAGATCCCCCCAAAGTCTAGCATTCTTATTCAAACATGTAGCTTCTCATTTTGTACCAAGTTAATAAAGAAGCACATACACTACTGCATCACAAATTTTAATAGTTCCTAAATTATACTTTAATGTAACTGGTTTCCTTTGTAACCCTAGTTGTATACTTTGAAATAGTATCCTGAAAAGGGTTCATCATACAGCCAAAGGGGTCCACAGTACTGAATAAGTTTCTAGTTCCCATTCATATTATAGGCTCCTCTTTTTTACTCTGGCATTATTACAAGAGATACAAAAATGCAAGTCAGTTTCTACCAAACACACAACTTAAGGCCCTCAAACACAACCTGCCCTTAAAACAACCAATTAATCACAGGACCAAACTTTAATTATCTATGTCATCAACCAGCAGTTTTGATGACAGCAGTTTCCTTCTCTTATATATGCATATATGTATATAAAATGCTTCCAGATAACTGTGCCCAAAGGTTCAAACTAATTTTTAAACCAATGATCTATAATAACAAACATATTGTTATTACAATTGTTATTACAACTAAATTGTATAATATCAGACTACTAAAAGTGGAAAAATATTAATAAGAACTAGCATTTCCTAAATACATGTCATGCCACCTATCTGCACATTCCCTTCCTGTTTTACTTGACATTTAATGTTAATGCTCAAAAATAAATCAATTAAATTTTATTTAATTGGTTAGCTAATGTGCCAAATTATGGCATTCATCCTTAAGAGCATTAAAATGTAACCAATACTTACTTCTGAATCTTCAGATAGGCCATTGCTCTATTAGCAGGAAGGAGGGCATTAGTGCCATCTGCTGCTATGCCTCGAGTATAGCATTCAATTGCTCTTTCATATTTCCCCTCTTTGAAAAATCCATTCCCCTATCATTTTGGAGAGAAGTACAAAGAATCAAAACCTATGCAGAAAAATTAACTGAATTCAAGTCTTAAGGAACAGGCCAAAAATCAGTATTATATCAGTAATTACAGCACAGATAAAGATAGTATAGTAGCCCCCTTCTCAAAAAGTATGTGTGTGTATACACATTTTTATGGGGTTTTTTTCTTTCTTTTTTATTTTTTGGTGGTACTGGAGTTTGAACTCAAGACCTCACGCTTACTAGGCAGCACTCTACCACTTGAGCCACACCACCAGCCCTTTTATTGTGTTGGGTATTTTCAAGATAGGGGCTCTCAAACTATTTGCCTGGGCTGGCTTTGAACCAAGATCCTCCTGATCTCTCTGCCTCCCTAGTAGCTAGGATTATAAGCATGAGTCACCAGCACCTGGTTTTTTGGGGGGAGTTTTGTTTTTTGTTGTTGTTGTTGTTCTTGAGACAGAGTCTTACTGGTCTCAAATACTCGATCCCCATGCCTTTACCTCCTAAGTACTGGGATTACAGGGATATGCTACCACGCCCAGCCTACAATGTACTTTAATTGCTAGAGGTCTCTTGCTGGGGGCATCCAGCTAATTAGGAGGCAGAGATCAAGAGGATCATGTTTCAAATCCAGCCTGGGCAAATAGTTCACAAGACCCTATCTCAAAAAAAACCCATCACAAAAAAAAGGCTGGTAAAATAGCTCTAGGTATAGGCCCTGAGTTTTAATCCCAGTACTGAAAAAAAAAAAAAAAAGAATTTTAAACTCAATTTTTGTGAAAGAATAATGTATTGGAATTGTACAGTTCACCCTTCAATAATATTAGTATGCCTAATATTAATAAAACTGTACTGAAATGTAACACTTATTTATAATCATTCAAGTAACATCACAATCAATCATTCCACAAGTTATTTAATGGAAATATTCTGTAGGCCCATGAAATCAAATCTCCTCAACTCAGGATTTACAAAAGAATTTCAATCAGAAATGGTCCCATGTGAATTAGTAAGTACATTATAAGAATGGATTGTAATTTATTTGTCAAGTTTGTAGCTATCTATATGTAAATATATGTAGTTTGCTCCCTAAACTTAAAAGATTCTATAATTATTATATATTAAGTCATCAATTACTCAAAATTTGAATTAGTAGGTTCCAGACGTTTAGTGTATTTAATTTCTAGTTCCTATTCAAGAACAATTTTAATATAATATTAGAGGAGACAAAAATAACTAATACACAAGAGACTAAGGGCAAATACTCGACAAAACATATTCATTACATGTCAGAATCCCTTTGGATTACCCGATCTTTCTCTGAGATGGCCTGCTGTTTATTCTGTTGTTCTTCAATTTGTTTTTTCTCTCCTCCAGTTGACTTAACTACTGTAACAGTTTCCTTTGGAAATGAGTTTTCTTTGGTTGTTAAAGCCTAGGAGACAGAGCACTTAGCTAAAATAAAACATGTATTGCAAGATGCATTCTTATTTGTCTTTAAAATGAATTTTACTCAAATATATTAGAATTTCTGCCAAACTCAAATAATTGGAATATTTCTTACTCTAATTGGTCTTTCTACTTATTAAAATAAAAAGGTACGTGTGTAAAACAAATTTAATGTGCTTCTTATTCCAATTAAAATAAGAAGTATCCAGAAAAAGTAGTTGTTCATGAATTTACTCAACAAATACTTGGTGAACTTCTATATAGACCAGGCACTATTCTTAGGAGCTGTTTCAAACATAAAGCAGTTAAATTCAGATCACATCACAAATTTCTCAAATTTAATGTTCAGTGATTATTTGATGTAAGACAATATACAAGACAATATAATGCACAATTATAATGAAGTTGATTACCAACAGACTTTATGTGTGGTAAGTGATGGCAATATTTAAAGGCAGATTTTCTTCAATCTTTGTCACTTTTTTCTCAATGTGTCAAAGATGACAAAACAATTGCAGCTTTAATGCAGAGGCAAAGTGAAAGGAATATGCAAGTGCTCGATATTGTTAGACAACTAATTTTATATTTAAATAACTATCCTTATTGTTAAAAAATTAGTGTTTTTGCCAAGACACAAACTATAAAGTTGGAGCAACTTAAAAAGCACAAAATCAAAGAAATACGCAAAAGTTTAGCACAGAAATCAGAGCACAGAACAAAAACAAAAAGATCAGTGAAATAACAAACGTCATTTGAAGAAAAGATAAAGTAGCAGTTCTAAAGATCTCAGCCAACTTTTTTAAATGATGGTCCATTAGGGATCTATACCATGATACTCCTCTAGCTTTCAAATTCATTTGGTAAAACTCTATAGTACAAAGAAAATTAGAAAAGTTCAACATTAAGAAACCTATAGGAGAGGGGCAAAAGGTAGAATAAGGGAAGGGGGTAAATCTAACAAAGATATATTATAAGCTCATATGTAAATATCACAATTTATCTCCCTGTACTCTTATTGTATGCTAATAAAAAAGAAACCTACAATAATCAAACCTGTAATAGTCAAAAAGTTTTAACTTCTCCAGGTGCCAATGGCTCACGCCTGTAATCCTAGTTACTGAGGAGGCAGAGGTCAAGAGGATCGCAGTTCAAGGTCAGCCAAGCGCAAATAATTCTCAAGACCCTATCTCAAAAATACCTATCATCACAAAAAAGGGCTGGCAGAGTGGCTCAAGGTGTAGGTCCTGAGTTCAGACCCCAGTACCACCAAAAAAAGCTTTAACTTCATCAAATAAAGGTCATAAATGATGCACTTTAAATAGCTGTAGTTTACCTGATTGATTTTCCTGAGTTCACTTGTTGCTTCAAAGTTATTTGGTTCCAGTTCTAATACTTTTTCATAATCTAAATAAAAGAGAAAATAAAGAATTTCTGAAAAGGTACAGATATTTTAAAAGTCCATACAAAACAGTAATAATTTACTGCACAGGACATATAAGCAACTATTATATAGTAAAATGAAGGAATACCTAGAAACACTAACATTCAGCTACTAAGCTTTCTTCAGTCCCATCCAGGGTAGACAAAATCCTAACAAATTCTGTAGCATTTTGGACATCTGCTATCATAAGGAGTACATTAAACCAAGAGACAACAAAATCTACTAGATGTCAGCTTTATTCATATTTTATAATTTATACTGATAATCAGAGAATATACTAGTCACACGTGGTATGATAGCACATACTGGAATGGAATTTGAACCAGTCTGATTGGTGGCAAGTTAATACGTTCTTTCTTTTATATATATATATATTTTTTAATTACAAAAATAAACTTTGTTCAAATACTTTATGGAATGCTCTGAAGGAATTTATTGTACCTACTGAGCATTCTTTGTATGCTGCCTATTAAACTATTAAAGAAAGTTTTAGATAATGATGATTTGAAAAGTATTAATACCTCTTCTGGCATCCTCTAATTTTTGCAAAGCAAATCGAGCAGCTCCTCGTCTAGCATAAGCCTTTGCATAAGTTCTACTTAAGGCAATTGCTAAATTACAATCAGACTCAGCAACACCAAACCTGCAATTTAAAAACAATAAAATAAATGATGTCAATAAAAGTCACTTATTAAACCAAAACTTCAAATTTTGCATCTAAAATTCCTAAAAATGGGATTATCAGCATGTTTCCCCACCCTTTTATTTAATTAAACCTACTATAAAAGCAGTCCTTTTAGTAGCATTCCTTTAATGAAAGAGACAAGAAGACCCAGTATCACTGCTTTTATTCAGAATTATACTACAGGTCCTCCTCGATGCAGTTCCACCAGTCAGAAATATAAGGCAGAAAAACTGGAAACAAAGAAACAAAACTGACAATATTCTCAGACAATGAAACTCAAAACAATCTAGAAACTCTGCTAAAAATAATGAAAGTTGAGGGGTGGGAGAAGGTGGTCCAAACAATGTATACACATGTGAGTAAATATAAAAATAATAAAAGGTGAAATAAATAAATTTTTAAAAAGAAAATAATTAAAGTTTATCAAGGTGACTACTATAGACCAAAAAGAAAAAACAAAACAAAACACATACATTATTACATGGATGCAAAAAATTATAAGACTGTCTTCAAGACATAAAAGAAGACTTAGGTGGAGATAATTCACATTCATCTATTATGTGCAAAGAGTGGTATAATTATCTCCAAACTGATCCATAAATCTAATGTAATTCTAATCAAAATCCCAACAGGAAATTTAAAGGAATTTAAGAGATGATTCTAAAATGTGTATTACTGAGGGCAAATCCAAGAAAACACTGGACATTCCTAAAGAATGAAGTAGGAGAATATGCCCTACACCAAATATCAAGACTTAAAATTGTAATGCTATGTAATCAAATATGGCATGGAATCAATGCAGGAACAGGCAGTAGACCAATGCAAAGAACAGAGATGAGAAAGTGACCCATACAAATTTGACAAAGAACAACAGTAGTGCTGCAGATCCATGGGGATCACGTGGCCATTCCATAAACAGGGCTGGACAGTCACACTGAAAAATATGAAACTGGAATTCTACTCAGCATATGTGAAAAGTAAAACTAAACATTTTTAGAAGAAAATATAGAAGACTATTATGAGCTCAAGAAAGATTTTTTTTTAAACAAATCATTTTTTAGAGAGCTAACCTTTTAAAAATCAATAAATACAGATACATTAAAATTTCTGTTCAGAAACATTTACTCTATTTATGGAATGAAGAGCTACCCAATTCCAGGATTGAAAATAAAGTCAATTTTTAAAAAAGAATTTCTGTTCTTCATGGAATTTCAATATTTCATCAAGAAAAAGATAAGCCACAAGTTGGCAGGTAGTTATTATAGGCAAGTGTCAAAAAGATTAGTATCCAGCATAAAGAACTTTTTGTTTTATTTTTGTTTTTTGAGACAGGGTCTTGCTATATATAGCCCAGGCTGTCCTTGAACCCACTATGTAGCTCAGGCTAGCCTTGAATTCTTGATCCTCCTGCCTCAGCTTCCCAAGTGCTGTGATTACAGATGTGTGTCACCATGATTGGCTCACAATAAAGAAACTAAGACCTACTATAGTAAATAGGAAGCCATGGGTGCATGGTTTGAACAACCAGATGTTGATTTTGAATTAAATAAAATTACTCAAGTTGGACCCAGTGGCTCACATGTGTGATTCCAACTGTATGGGAGGCTGTAGGTAGGAGGACAGCAGGCTGAGGCTAGGCCCAGGAAAAAAATGTGATACCCTACCTGAAAAATAAAGCAAATAAAAAGGCTCCGGGTATGGCTCAAGTGGTAGAGCACCTGCCTAGCAAGCAAGAGGCCCTGAGTTCATGCCCCAGCACCACCAAAAAATAAATATAAAATTAGTCAATAAAAAGTAGCAAGTTATAACAATTTATAGTACAAAAAAATATAATTTCAATCTCTCCCACAGTTTATTACAAAAGGCTTTTTAAAATCAGTCTACAAATACAGTTAAAGCCATCCACACACATTATAAAAAGTCCTCACTTTTTCAATCTAAAGTATGCTGATGCTCTGTTTGTCGGCAACACAGGATTATACGGATCAGCATCCATGCCTTTTGTGTAGCATTCAATTGCTTCATCATATTTTCCTTCCTTGAAGTATTTATTGCCCTGAAAGAAGAGAGATTAAGCAAAACGGTCTTTTTACAAGTGCTAAAATTCAGTATATAGTCATTGTATGAGTGTACCCCAATAGCCCGGATATAAAAATGAGCAAAATACCTAACATTACACTTGTACTGTATACCAACCTACAGAAACATAACAAAAGAAGGCACCAACATGAATTTAATCTGGAGAGTTCCACCTTTTTAAAAAGCAATATAACTGGTTTTATAGAAATGAGGCATCTCTCAGAGAAATACTAACCATCATAAAGTTACCAAAGATTCCTGTGATATGAAGCAATAGAATATAATATTCATGCCAAAAATCATACACTGAGCCAGGTACAGGTGGCTTACACCTGTAATCCTAGCTACTCAGGAAGCAGAGATCAGGAGGACTGTGGTTCAGAGCCAGCCCAGGCAAATGATTCACAAGACCCTATGTTGAAAAACCCCATCACAAAAAAAAAAAAGAAAAAAAAAACCTTAAGGTGTAGGCCCTGAGTTGAAACCCCACTACCCTTCCCCCTCAAAAAAAAAAAAAAAAATCACATACTGATTTGAAAATTACTACAGTTTACTATTAAAAACCATGGAACAACTCCAGTACTCTACATATAATTAATTGAATATTCACAACTATCACTGAAGATGTTCTCATTGTTAATCTCATTTTACAGCTGAGAAAACGAAGTACAGGCAGTTGAAAGAACTTGTCATACTGGAACCAGGTAATTAATCTAGCTCTAGACACTGGCCCCCCTAAAGAGGGGTATAGCCAATAACAACTTGAAGCTTGAATATCCCCTACCTATGTTGAAGAAATTTTAGAATTCACATGATTTTTCTACATATTCTGCTTACCTGAAGGATCCTAAACTAACCTAAAAATTACCTTTTCTTTTAGAGCAAGAGCCTTTTGTGAATCTACACAAATTCCATCTTCTTCTGACTCTGACTCTTGAGACATGGAATCATGAGGACTATCTTCTTTGTCAAGCTCATCAAGAATACTGTCCTGAAACCATAAGCAGAATAGTGCTCATAGTTGCCTGACCATCAGGAAAAAAAAAATGTTAGACTCAATAGAACTTAAATTGTTAAAATCTAAGGAACTCAAGTCTATAAAAGCAATCCAAGTAACCTCCCACTGTTAATGTATCCAGAGAAAAAGGTGCCCTTGTTTAGAAAACCAAGATGTAAACCACTTAAAGAATATGACTCTGAATCATAAAGCAATAAAATCCAAAACCACCCCTAAATCATAAACTAATAGCAATGAGGTACTACAGCTTGACATAGTTTGCAAATAACTACAAATGTAGCACCCAATAGCAGAGTTTTTTTTTTTTTTCAATTTCTTCCTGTTTTAAGACAACAAAGACTGCTTATAGAGTACAATTAACTACTGATCTTAACAACCTATGAGATGGGAGTAATTACACATTTTTCACCTGGAGCCAAAACATTACAATTAACTTACTCAAGGTCACTCAGCTAGTAAGTAACTCAGTCAGGCTTTGAATACAGGCTTTCTGCCTCTTCAAGAGAACTCTCATTATGTTATACTCACATATAACAGAATGTATTCCAGAATATGGCTGATGCTACCAAGGGAAAAAATACATCCTCTTTCCATGGTAATAATTTTACAACTGTCAGAATTTTTCAAAATCATATTTTTATCATGTATGATCAGACTGATTTTCAGTAAGATCATTTAATTTTTTTACTTTTAATTAACATAATAACAAATATGTATATGGGGTAAAATGTGATATTTCAATACATATAAACAATGTACAATGACCAAATTAGGATAAGTGGCACATCTAATACCCACCCCATTAAAGTTCATCAAAGCTCACGAAGACACAAACTCCAATCATTATACAAAAAATACTGTGTGCACTTAACGTATTATTTTGTTATTTAAGAAAAAAGGCACTGTTGATAAATTAAGACAAAATAAAATCTACACTTGGTCTCACTGAACAAACATTAAAACGGAATTGAATTCAAAACAGGAATGTGTTTTGGCATGAAGATTCTAGAAATACCATCAGTCTAACAACATTGTAGCCAAAATTACCCAATCTTGCTATGCTGACATGCATAGAAAACCAATGGCAGCAGGACACTAAAGCAAGCAACTCAGACCTGAAGTGGAAAGTAATGGTAAGTGCACACCTCTATCTTGTACTAAAAGGACAACTGCAAACAATGCAGTACAATCATGATGGCACTGTCTGCATGTAACAGGAGTTCATTCACATGTTCAACAAATAAAGAAGAATCTCTATATAAAATCTTAAGGGGCAAATAGACTAGTATTAAATCTTGTATCTAAAAAGTATCATTTCCAACAGCAAAAATGCAAGACCCAAAATCATACTTCTCTTATACAGGGCCAACCCTGAAACAGAGTGCAAACTATTTAAATAAAAGTGCAAGCTCTCAAGTCAATTAGCCTTGGCTTCATTAAGAAAAATACAACCCAATTAATTTGGAAAATTGTCCAACAATATATTCCAATGCTAAATATACATAAAAACTACGACCCAGCAAATCCCCTGGGGGTGCTTATGTCCACAGGAAGACATGAAATGAAAATGCTCACAGCAGGTTTATTCAACCCCAATGTGTATTAACAGGAGAACGGACATACTGTGCTATATCTACACAACAGAATTCTGGTCAGCAATGAAAAAGAACAAAATATTGTTACCCATGATATGGATTAGTATCAGATGATGCTAGCAAAAGAAGCCAAATCAAGAACGTATACTGTATACGAAATTTATATGAAATTCTAAAACTGGCAAAACAAATCAAGAGAATAAAACAGTTGGATAATAGCTGCTTTTGAGAGATTAGCAGCTGACAGGATGCTGGAAATGCTCCATCTTGATCAGGATGGTGGTTTCACATGTATAAACAGGAATAAAAATTCAGAAGGCTATGTGTATTATACTTAATAAAAATGTTAAACATAAAAATATGGAAAGTTATTTATATGGACATATGAGGGAGAAAAAGAAAATGGGATAGGAAAGGAACACACCAGTAGCTTCACCAATACTGGAAAAATTCTTTAAATGGTGGGCTCTTGTATCCATTTTTCTATTATGTCCTAGAACATCTATCTCCACATATTCTTTTGCATGATTATGTATTATATAATAAACACTTTTAAAAGACTAAAAAGGCCAGCTGTAATCCTAGCTACTCAGGAGGCAGAGATCAGGAAGACCGTGGTTTGAAGCCAGCCTAGACAAATAGCTCAGCAAATAGACCCTATCTTGAAAAAAACCCGTAACAAAAAAGGGCTGGTGGAGTGACTTAAGATGTGGACCTGGAGTTCAAACCTCAGCACCACAAAAAAAAAAAAAAAGACCCAAAAGGAATGAATATTTTAATTTGGTAATCGAATCTATCTCCTCAACCTACACCTCTCCCAACCAAATCACCCCCTAAAGTAGGTAAGAGTCCAGAATAAGGGGGGCCAACAGGTTCCCTATTAATTTATCAACAATTCATTTTTTCTTAAATAACAAAGTAGTATGTTTGTTAGATGCAAACAGGATTCTTTTGATACAATGATTAAAGGCTGTTGTCTAAATGGGCTTTGTATCTTACTATTGGGTGGGGTGATAGATATGCCATTAACTGAAAGAGGACTACAGAAAGAAAAGAAAAAAAAAAAAACTAATCTAAAGAGCCTTGTAACTAAATTTTTATTCCACAAAAAAACAGTCTCTAAGAGAAGACACAGAGCCAGCAGTGGTGATACAAGCCTATAATCCCTGCCTGAGGGCAGGAAGATTGCAAATTCAAGGCCAACCCATGTTACAAAGCAAGTCTGTGTCAACAAAAAAAAAAAAAAGAAAGAAAGAAAAAAGAGAAGACACAGGTAATGAGAATTACAATTTTTCTTTAATCCGTGACAATTAGCTAATTCCAAGAAAATCTTATTCAAATGTTAAGAAGCCTATGACTATATCAACTTACCACATCAAGTTTTGCCCATGCCTCATAATCATAAGATTTTATCCGGTTTTTTGCATTCTCCTGTTTAGTTTTTTTAGAAGACTCTTTAGCTTTGCCTTTCTTCTTTTTCCTAAAATTTCCATTTCGAATAGGAGGTAAATTCTAGGTGGAAAAAAAAGTTTTGAGCATTCTTCTCTGTTACTTTTTGTATAACTAACAATGTTTAAAATTCTCACTAAATGATATTTTCAAATAAGAAATAATTTTTTCAATTTAATTTTTAAGTGCTTCAAAATACCAATTTACTAGCTTCACTTACTATAATAATAATGCTTAAAAAGTTTAATTCATTCTTTGATGAATGTTGAGTATCATTCAGTCACAAGAAAACTATCACCTGGAAATCCTAATTATGTACAATCCTAAATTCAAACTTTAAAAACTACCTGACCTTTAGTCTTGGCACAATAATGAACAAGCAATAGATCACAGGCAAACTGAAGTGGCTCCAAGTCATTGCATACAATATAAATTACCTACCCATGTTTAAATACACTGGCTTAAGAAAAATATTTGGTTGAACCTAGGTACTATCTGCATTTTTATGCCAAAACTGTATGCTTATATATCATTAAATACATATCTTATTTTCATATAGGTACACACACCCCTACATATTTTACAATGCTATTTGTTTACCTTTTAATTGTATCACATCATCATCCTTTCAGTATCTATTCTCCAACATTTAAAATATCTTAACTGCAGTTAGTATAATCATAACAAAAATTTTGTAAGAAGGAGAATTTCTAAAAATGTGGATAATGTAACAAATCACTTCAGTTTCAGTATTTTCACAAAACGATTTAAAATAAAATGTCTTGCTGGATACTAAATTAGGAATTCTTAACTTACCTCCTCAGGAACACCACTCTGTCTTCTTAGCTCTATATCCTTTTCTTTAATGTCTTTTTCCCAGTTTTCTAAATCCCTCATAAAGTCTTGCAATTCTTCTGCATTTTGTTTTACTTGTAGTTGTAATTCAATTGCTTTATTTGAATTCATTATGACCTGCAGAATTTTGATCAATCTCTGTTAAGAATTAAATAACAGATGTTCCTCAAATTACAATGGAATTACAGCCCCATAAACCCATCATAAATTGAAAATAGTTAAATCAAAAATGCACTTAAGTAGGCATGGTGGTACATGCCTGTAATTCCAGCACCCTGGAAGCTAAAGCAGGAGTATCACCAGTTTGAGGCTAGCCTGGACTACATAGTGAGACCCTGTCTCAAAAACACACACCACACACACACAAGGCACTTAATACACCTAATTTACCAAACATAACAACTTAGTAACACACTACAGTGTCAGCTGTTTCCTCTCCTGATACTGTGGCTGAATGAGAACTACAGCTCAATGTCACTACAGAGCATCACAACAGTACTGTGCCACATACCTAAAAGATGACCAAAACTCAAAGTACAGTTTCTGTTGAATGAATATTGCTTTCTGACCATCAGAAAGCTGAAAAATCCTAAGTCAAACCATCAAGTCAGAGACTGTTTGTATTTATTTCACTAATTGACTTTTCCACCACTTTATTAAGAGCCAAAATACACAGACCATGAGAGACTAAAGTGATGATGAACTAAATATCAGTATTATATATATATATATTTTTTTTTTTTTTGGGTGGTAGTACTGGATTTCAACGTAAGGCCTCAAGCTTGCTAGGCAGATGCTCTACCACTTGGGCCATTCTGCCAGCTTAGCTTACTAACAAGTTTGGTCATCCTCAAACATGAAAGGCAATGGCGGGGGGAGTGTCACTGAAATTAGCTAGTAACACCTGTTCACCTCTACAATTTATAAGAATATTCCAATTACTTCCTTTACTCCTCCTTTTTTTCCAACTTGTATTAAACTTTTACTAGTGACTGACACCTATATCAAGGTTTAGGGATGCAAAAACAAAACAAGATCTCTTGTGAAGAAGAAAAAAACAAAATATAGAGTAATCAAATACTAAGTTAGGCAAGGTTTCTCAATCTTAAAATGACTGAAAATTTCTTTGTTGTGCATTGTAGGATGGTTTACAATATTCCTGTCTTCTACAGACTAAGGTCCAGTATTAACTCTGGATTGTGGCAACCAAAAATGGTTCCAGACAGTGCCAGATGACCCATGAGAGGCAAAATACTGTGTTGAACCATGTACGGAACTGACCACAACGGTTAAGTATAAATCAGATGGTAGGGTATAGAATCAAAGAAGGAGCCCCAAAGGTGTTGAAACTTCAGCTGGGTTTCAAAAATGGGCCAGTCAAGTGATTAATAAGGAGCAGAGTGAGGAACCATGAGGGAGAATAAAGAGGTTAAAGTAGACAAGGGACAAATCTTGAAATGCCAAGCCATGAGTCTAATCTATATTCTAAAAGCCATGTAAAGATATTGAGGTGGTAAAATAAAAAGGACTTCATGATTGGTCAGGTTGAAATGTTAGAGTGTAGAGAAAGACTCAAATGATGTCTTAGATTTCTGGCTTGGGAGCCTGGTAAAATTAGTGATGCCGTTTTGAGTCAGGAAATGTACTTTTTAAAGGAAAATAAGGTTTCACAGTTGAAGGGCAAATGGACAGGACCGTTTCAGTTGGCTGAATGAGTGTTTATGGAACACCAGGAGGAGATACCTAGTAAGTAGCTATAAAATCCTAGAGATAAATTTGGGTGTCACCAGAATAAAGGTTGAAGCTAGAGTCATGCATGTGAACATGTTTAACCACTGTGACTTCTGGGGGGTGGGAATGGAACGCCACCCCTTTATTTAGGGAATAAAGGAAAAGATGCCAACATCAGAAAAATTAGGCAGCAGCACCTAGAGAGATGGAAGGAGACAAGAGTAACTGTCACCAAAGACCAGAGAACGTGAGCTCACACAGTGGGAGAGGTTAGCAGTGCCAAATGACACGGAGGAAAAGAAAGCACATTATATTTAGTCATATAAAGCTTACTGAGAGCTTTAATGAGATTTTTAAAGGGTGGAAATAAGCTAAGTAAATGAGATTCTATGGCATTAGAATAAATTTATCTTTAATATAAGTCCTGAGTATTTTCTGGGTATTGAAGGAACAAGATATAAGAAGGAGGATGAGTGATATAGCTTGGCCCCCCAAAGGTGGAGAGAGAGTCAAACTTTAAGGGGAAAGGGAAGTAAAGTGAGAGAAAGAAGGAATTAGAAAGGGGATTGATTTGTCAAGAAGAGTTGCAAAATATTCCACCGAGAATGAAAGAATTCACAGTTGCAGGTGCAGGCGGGTCTTCTGCCTCCTGGCCTCAACAACTAAACAAAATCTCAGCTTCTTTCAGGCAACATCCACGTTTCATTATATATGTGCATCTCTTTCAAAAACAAAACTACTATAATGATTTGCTGGGAACTCAAAAGCAAAAATGAGCAAAAGCGCAGCAACACCCTAAGATGCTGGAGGGAGTCGAAAGCTCTTGCTTTTCACCCATGCACCCCTGAGGCTCTGCAGACCCAACTGCTCCTGTGGAACCTGTGGCGGGGCTGAGGTCCCCGCGGACGACCCGAAACTTGGGGTCCCACGTTCACACCTGACGTCTCGCCAGAAAGGGGCGGGCCCCTCCGCGGTCCTCTCGCACGTCCGGACCTCCGCAAGTCAGCCAATGCCAGGGCTGCAGAGGTGGCTGGACCTCCGCAGAGCCAAACGTCCACGGCCGGGTGGCGTGCGGAGAGCCCCTCCCGGGACGCCGCTACCCCGGACGCTGCTGCCAGGACACCGCAGGGCCCCGACGCCGCTCCTGCGTCCTCGCCCGCTCCGCTTCGCCCAGGCCCACAGTGCGCCCCCTCCTCCCGCTAGCAGACCGCCCCCAATCCCGAAGTGCCCTGGCGGTAACCTCAGTACCAGCTCACCTGCCCAGGCCGTCACCGCCCGCACCCCAGCCTCTCAGCCCCGCGGCGACTCACGCCGGCCCTTCCCAGCAGGCCCCGCGCGCCTCGCCCCGCCTCCTGAGCGCGGATCGAGCATGCACAGAAGCTCGGGTTCCGGAGCCTTGCAGCTGTGCTGTAAGTGCTGGCGGGGTCAAGCGCCGGCGGGTTCGGGGTTACTGGGTCCAAAGTAAAATCTGACTCTTGTCTGTTTCCGGTGTGACTGCACTAAGCATGAGAACCCCAAAACTGCAGCTACCGTCACCTATGCTGACCCTTGGACTTCCTTCAGTTTTATCCCTAGTGCTGGCGTTGCTTTTGTCGTGACGGTTGCAAGTATGATAATCATAGAGAAAAGTTAGTTTCTCCTTTATGAACAGACTAGTGTAAACTAGTAACCCTGGAAATTGGCTGGATTTTTTTCCCCCTGTAAGTACTTAAATGAGGCCAGCTAGTCCTTCTGTCTGCTTTCCTTAGGCCTTTTGCAAATAATCTCCTTTTCTAAGGATATCTATCTCTGAGTCTTTGATGTGTGTATTAGGATCTGACTTTATATATGTTCTTGGCTTATTTAAAGGGAAGAATATGAAGCTTTTAACACTTTTGGCTTCTGCTTCCTTTGTGAGTGAGCCTTCTTTCATCGCCGTGACAGCCCTAAAATTGCTCCTTCTATAAGAAGTCAACAAAAACAAACAGAAACCAAATTTCAAATTGGATCAACTCTGGAGTCAGACACACTACTTTTGCGCCGCAGGTCTCCCTCAAATTGGATCAACTCTGATCTTAAACTTTATCCCCCGAATTCAGATCAGTGGTTCTCAAGTTCAAAATCACCTAGGGTGATATAAATACACACACAGGCTGATTTTGGGTCCTATCCCAGAGGCTCTAATTTAATTAGTCTAGGGTGCAGCCTCAGAATTAGAAGTTTTTTTAAAGGACAGAATATGGCCGTGCAGTTCAGAGTGGAAACCACCAACCCAGGTGCTGGTCAATGAAAAACCATCTTAGGGTCTTCCCTCATAACGTCCTATCATTGGTAACTTTCCCCATTGTTTCATTGTTTGGTATCTGTATTTTACAATCACAATAGTCAAATCACTAGGGCATCACCAAATACGTACTAATGAAATGAGGTTTTGGCTGGTGTTGTGTTATAGAGATAGGTAATGGAATTAAGAGATCCTGAGATAAGCCTGAAAATAGGGAGAAAAAAAAAATGCCAGGGGACTCCTCAGACCCCATGTAACTTATTCTTGGCACACTTCATGCCAAGATATTCCTTATCTCAATCCAGTGCAATCCTTTGCTGTTGTAAATTGTAAGACAAGAAGTCCTGGGTTGATTCCACCTTCCATTATCTCTTAGACAAAAACATGAATATTGATTACACTCCATGCATATGATTAAAATACCTAAAAGCATGCTTAAGTGCTTGTGCAGAGTAACTGTTAATCACCCTCACTCCACCCACCAGGTCCAAATCCTTCCCTACTTGCTGATTGCAGATTATGGTGGGTTTTTAAAGCCTTGAGACAAACAATACTCTCTTGCTCCTTTTCCTGCTTCCATCCCACCTGGCTCAACTGGCCAGATGGGGCCCCACCACTGCTTCTTGTGATGTCTTCCCCAACCTTTAATAAACTCTAGTCCCTCCCTTACTAAATCCACTTGTCTTGATTAGATGCCTCCATGCCAGACACAAAGATTTTGGAAAGCTGATCAGAGATAAACCCACAACAATCCTAATGTATTTTAAAGTTAATAATAAATCAACTTAAAATATACCGATTTATTGATGTTCTTAATGAAACAACTATATTTGTTTTATTAATACTGCCAGAGTTGATTGAAATAACAGAGCTAACTGGCTGCTCCAATAAAACTTCACAGACTTATAGTGAATTCTTTCTCTCTCTCCCTCTCCACATAGTGAACTCTCTCTCTCTCTCTCTCTACATAATAAATCATATTGCTTAGTGAACATAGAATCAAAAGAAGAGTTAACCAAATGGTTTTGACAGCCATCACTACCTAGTTCTGAGGCTCCTATTGTCCCTGTCATGGCATCCTTCTCCCCTGTGAGCTCAGTCTTCTTTTCTAGATGGCACATGGGTCTCTCCATTTCTATTGACAATTGTCTTCAAATGGGATTCAATAAAATTAGTAAATCATACCTTTCTTGTATATTTCTTTTATTCATTTATTTTACCAAGAATAAACTCTGGTCATCTCAATTGAACTTATTGTTAATATCTGAATGGCTATTTCCAAAGAGACAATCTCTTTATGTGGTTTATATGTTGAAATTATAGTGGTCAATGGAAATAAACATAAATATTGCTGTAACAGTGAATTACTGCAATTAACGATTGTGAAAACTGTTTATTTTATGCCCAAAACAATTATTGAGCCCTTTCAAATAGTTCAGTATGAAAAGATTCTGACAGTTAATAAGAGACTTAAGAAGGGATAATAGCTAAATAACATTAGGAAGAAATTTTATGAACCTTGAAACTTCTGTTACAAAAATACTGTACTTGGTTGGATGTGACAGAATATTTATTTTATTTTGTGCCCAAAATAAAATTGGCTTACACATGGCAGAAGATTATTTCTCTCTCATTTAATACTGGATATAAAAAATCCAGGACTGTTATGAAAATCTCAGTGTCAGGCCCAAGTTTTTTTATATAAATAAAACTTTTACCACAGGTTGGGACATGGTAAGAGGTTAATAGCATCCTGCAAAGCTGAGGTCCAGATCCTAGTATACAATAACCAGTAACTCTCTCATGCATTTCTGTCTCTATGTCTCCCACTTGTCCACTGAAAGACCTCTGAAAAGGTCTATAAGGAGCATAAGTGCTGAGCACCAGTCGATGAAGGTTAAGGTTGACCTCAGGGAAGGTGCATTGCCTCTCCTACTGCAAACTACATAATATATGAGATAAATAATAATGAAAAGAACGGCTAGTGTTTCATTTTACATTGCTGATCTCATAAAGGCAGTATTATCCCCATCTCACTGATGAGGGTAGTGATCTGAATGAGAAGTTTGCCCATACAGCCAGCGACAGAAGCCTGGCCAGAAACCTAGGCAACCTGACTTGCCCTTGGGCACCTTGACTGTCCCTCAACACCACTAGGGAAGGGCAGGCAAGGCCCTGCTTCACCTACCTGCACTCTGTATCTTGCAGAGGTATCACTTCTTGCCTGGCATCTTGCTAGCATGGTGGCCTAAACAATCTGCCTACAGGGAAGAAGTCTCTTTAGCATCTCCTCCTCCCTCCATTTGGTCAACATCTTCAGCCACAGAAGCTGCATCCATGGTGACCTTCTGTTCTCCACGTATGTGATCGTGGGGACTCGGTACTGGAACCACCAGTCTCCATTTATTCCACCATATCTGTGTGTGATGCTCCCTCCAAATTTCACATTACAGGTGCACCCAGAATAATTTTCTCCCCGCCTTGGATAGAGAGGTTTGGTGAGTCATCGGGGACTTCACCCAAATGCCACAATCTCCAAGCCATTCTGCAAAGACTCCCATCCATGCTCCAGGGAAAAGGCAGGGAGACCAGCAGTCACAGGGCCATATGAAAATAAGAGACACATTTCAAGTTTTCTTAGATGACTTTAATTGGAAGTCATCCAATTAATTAATTGGAAACTCGACAGTTCTAAGCCATGATGCTAGCCTGGCTCTACAAGGCAGCATCTGGTTGTCAGCAAGTTCAGGGGAGAAATGCAACATTGAGGTTGATATAGGGAGTCCCGGTCTCCATGGTCTACCATTCTAGAGTTATTGAAAATATGGCAGATGGATAGCCTTAATGTAATTGTCAATGACATGAAGCTGTAAACTCCTTTCCTCTGATGCTAAACCTTCCTCCTATGAGGGGGAATTCTTTGAGAGAAAAACCATTTGTGATCAAAACATAAGTCTGTAACTGCAATAAATATCTACAAATGGGAAGCTTCTAGAAGCAGATACTGAACTGGTTGTAAAAACTTTCAGGCCTGAAGGAGGCCACCCACCCAAGTCCACCATTACCATCTCTGTCCCATGTCAGATTCTCCCAGATTCTGATTTGGGAGGATCAAACACTGGAAAAAACCACAGGCCCACTGCTTGGTTTCTGTGACCTGACTCCTTTGAGGCCCAACACAGGGCTGAACTGCAGTTTGCAGAGCTGTGTAAGATAACAGCCATCATAATGATACTGAATTTCTGTCTGCTGTTCTTCTTAAGAACAATTAAAAACATCTTCACAGTAATAATATCATCAGGTCTCCCTTCTTGTTAACCCCCAAAAGAAGAAAGGGGGCAGACTCACTCCATTTACATTAAAGGGAACTCTGAGCAAGATCAAGGACTTGCTCATGATCTCAGCACACATCAGAGCAAAAAGCTGTTGAGGGCTCCCACCTTCTCTGTCTGGATTCAATTTCTTAGTCTGTGTCGCTAAAATATTGGAAGACAAAGGTGTATCCATTTCTCTGCACTTTCCAAATTTGTATATTTTCTCTTTCCCATCTGTTCATTTCTGGACTTGGGAATCCCTCCCATTTGAGGCTCCTCCCTCCCCTCTCTGGTTCAGAGCAGATAACAAATCAATTCATCACAAGCCCTCTGTCTTCCTGCCCCTTTCTAGCTCCAAGCTCTACTGGGTGGAAGACACCACATAGGCTGTGGCAATGTACTTCTTGCCATTTCCGTAGGTGGTCTTGTCCCAGGTGTAGGTCTGGATAGCCAAAGGATATCCACCCAGGCTTAACTGGCACCTGCGGGGAAAGACCACAAGTCAAAGAGAACCACCACTTCACCTGGCCTCCAGCCCGACCTCAGCAGAAGGGCTCCATTCTCCAAGACACAGCTGCCTCAAATTCTGCAGCCACTGCCCCATCTCCCCACGGGCAGGGAGTTTTCACAATCTAAACGTTATTTTCTACCGGTATTCCTTGTCTTTACCAGAACATCATTCCAAATTACTGATTCTAGAGCCAAAGTTCTCAGTAATGTTTGCTTCCTTTTTCAGAATTTGTAGGACCCAAAGTCCCCAATAGAGAATATGAGGGCCAGTTGTGGCTACCTGTTCTCTCTGGAGCTCTCTGGTTCTCCCACATAGCCTCAAGAGCCAAATAGTGAGGCTTAGAGGTCCAGAAAAACTCCATTATTGATTTCTTTATGTATTAAGGGCCTGCAAAAGACTTCACTTGGGGGAAGGAAGAGATTTGGTTCAACTGCTAAGATGAAGTTTGGCAACTGGCAATCTAATCTAACAACTTCACTGTCCAATCAAACTGAGGCCCAGCATGGTGATTTGTCCAAGCCCTCACAGCATCAGACTCCAGGCTTCCTGATGCTATCCAGGCTGAAGACACTCTGAGAACCCACATACTGCCCCAACACTTCTGCAGGCCCAATACTTACTTTTTACCTGGCCTGGCGATGAAGCATAGGGAGTAGAGTGCAAACTCAAACTCAGGGCTGCTGCCAATGAAAGATGAGCCCACTTCCTTATAGTAGCCATCCCAGTTGAACTGCAACGCTAACACGTCAGGGTAGGAGTTCCACTGCAGAAGGAAAGGCAGCAAGAGGGGTCTGGTGAAGGCCACACAGGGGAGCCAGACAGGTGCCAAACACCAACAGTCTGCCAGTATTTGTGGAGAGTCCATCAGGGGCCTTCTGGGGAGATGCAGAGGGAACATTCTGCTCTGTGTCTAAGCCCCACTTGGATCTTCTGTCTGCAGCCACCAATGCCAAGGAGGCCAGAATCATTGTCTGTATGACCCACTCCAGAGTAGCAGGGACATGACTATTCCCTGTGGCCCTCTCACATTGAAGAGGAAGTTTATTTCCCCCAAATTATTTCCTGGGGCAGGGCAGCAAAGATTTCTTATAAAATATATGGAGTTTAGCTCAGACTAGCCAGGTTGAAACTTCTAGTCACATTCTAAGAATATCCAGGCAAGGGGGAGTTTTGTATCTTTGGTTTTCCTTCTCTGACCTCTGCCTACTACCAAGACATAGTGCTCTCTGTTGCCTGTTTCCTGCGGTTATAGAGGTACACTGGAAGGGAATCCCATTTTCTGGCTGGCTAACCCCACCTCCAGCAATTGAGAATGCCATATTCACAATCCCCATTAGGCTGTCAATGAGCTTTGGGTGAGAAGCAAATCTAAGTGTTTGGAACACAGGAAATGAGACACAAGCAAGGTTTTTCCAGATACTCACAGGCCCATCATAGTTGTGACTGTAATAGTCAACCAGACCCTCCTTCTCCTGAAGGTAGAAGCGGATCCAGTTATGGAAGCCGGTAACCTTATCCTTTTTGACTTCACCTACAATAAAGAGTTCAGGTAGGTGATCCAGGATACCTTCCCCAGCCTTCCTCTCTAATTTCCTTTCCCCCACCCCAGGCCAAGGCTATATCCCCTCTCCAGACTCTCACTCCTAAAATGTCAACCTGCTTAGCCCCTTGCCTGACTCCCTAGAGTTACTTTTGACTCAAGTCCTTGGAAATAAGTTGGGGGCTTTTTTTGTTTGTTTGTCCTGTGTTGTTTTATGGTGGTACTGAAGTTTGAACTCAGGGCTTCACACTTGCAAAGCAGGCACTCTAACACTTGAGCCACACTTCCAGTCCTTGGCTCAAGTCCTTGGAACAATCCCTCCTTCTGGATGAGCCTACTGACCATTCTGGGATACTCCTCTCAGCTATTTCTCCAAGAACAAGCCAGGTTTGTTGGAAGCCTGGGAGACAAGGAAGTGGGGAAACTCTGAGGCCCTTTGGGAAGCAGCTGACCAACCGTAAGAAGTAGAGGACTACTCAGAGGAGACAACCTCTTGGCATACCCAGCATCTTGTCTTCATTCCCCCAGACTCTGGAGAGACTGTCCATCAACACAGTTTTCACATCCCTCTCTCTTGGCCTGGGAGTGAATCAGTCTTTTCCCACCAGCAGGCTTTGCTACTGATTTATCAATACCCACAGCTGCACTGCTCCTGGACCAAAGCTATTCCTTTTCATCCCTCCCACTCTTCCTTTCCAAGCAGAGTGATCCCACCTGAGAAGACATGTTCAAAGCCACTTGAGTCCCCCTCTTCACTGCCTCTTGAATAAAGCCCAAACCACATGTTCTTCAAGTCTTCAACAAACTCTTGTTCTGAGCTGTAGCGGTCTGAGGAGAGGAAAACAGAGGACTTTGGAGAGGGGAAGTTGGGTTAAGTCCTGGGAAGTAGGGAAGGGATACCTGCTCCAACACTTCTAGAGAGACAGGGATCCAATCAACAAATGTGGTCAGTGGGGCCAGGCCCATATCTGAAAGCTGAGGGTTCAGCAAAGAAAAACAAGAAGAGGGTCTCTTATCTTTACAATTTACATTCCAGGGGAGAAAAAAATAATAAATAGGGAAACAATAAATAGTATGATTTCATATAAGTGCTAAGAAAACAATAAAGCAAAGTAGCCCATAACAACTGGAGATGGGGATGGGAGGTGCTATTTTAATATGTCCCAAAAAAACGTGTATCAGAAACTTGATATCCAGAAACAGAATTAAGAGATGGGACTTCAAAGGGTGATTAGACCATGAGTCTCTGCCCCCATGAATGGATGAATGACATTTTGTAGGACTGGGTTCCTCTTCAAGGTAGTGGTTTTTCTTAAAGAGGATAAGTTCAGCCCCTTTTTCATCTTTCTCACCCTCTTTGGCCTTCTGCCTTCCATCATGGATAATACAGCACAAAGGCCCAGATGCTGGCCCTGGATCTTGGATTTCCTAGCCTTTAGAACTTATGAGCTAATACATTTCTGCTCATTATAAATTGCTCAATCTGGAGTTTTCTAGAAACGAAGATCAGAAAGGCCTCTTTGAGGAGGTAGCATTCATCAAAAACCTGAAGGATAAGGAGTTCTCTTTGCAAAGATCTGGGGAGAAGGCTCTGTGGCTGGAGCATAGTGAGCATTGGAGAGAGTGGTAGGGAAGGAAGTCTGAGAGGTAGGCAGGGCCCAGATCCCACAAGCCATGCCAAGGAGGTCAGATCTCAACCAAATAGTAATAATGCAAAAATATTTTAGATTCATAGACCACTTTCTGCATGCCCAGCATTGTTTTAGGTGTTTCCACATAATAACATTGAATCTTGACATAGGCTGGTACTAATTATCCCAAATTTAGAGATGAGGAAATTGAGGCAGACAAGTGTTATAAAGTCCATGCAAGATGACATAGTTCATGAGAGATAGACATAGCATTTGGGCTCCCACAGTCTAGCTCCATAGGCTGGTCACTTACCAACTCTACAGCCTCTTGGTGGTGGACAGACACAAAGGGTTTTGTGGTTGTTGTTGCTGTTGTTTTTGTTTTGCTGGTATTATGGCTTGAACTTAGGGTCTTGCACTTGCTAGGCACGCACTTTACCTACCACTTTAGCCATACTCCCAGCCCTTTTTTGATTTCTTCATTTTTCAAATAAGGTCTTGAATTTATGCCTGGTCCCATGATCCTCCTATTTATGCTTCCTGCATAGCTGAGATGACAGACATGCACCACCACACCCAGCCTTTTATTGGTTTAGATGGAGACTCATGAACTTTTTACCCTGGTTGCCCTTTAACCATGATCCTCCTGATCTTCTTCTCCTGAGTGCCTACGATTACAGGAATGAGTCACTGTGCCTAGCCTAGACACAAAGGGCTTTAATCAAGGGAAATATGTGATAGGAGCTTTTCTTTTAAAGGCTCACTCTGGCTGTGTGTGCAAAAGGGTGGATGGGGTCATATGGATGGGAACAGAGAGGTCAGTTTTTAGGCTAATGCTTTGTCCAGGTAAAAAGTTACTGGTGATGCCAGGTGTGGTGGTACATGCTTGTAACCCCACTTCTTGGGAAGCTGAGGCAGGAAGACCAAGAATTCCAGGGAAACCTATGTCTCAAAACACAAAAAAGAAGGAGGAAGAAGAGAAGAAGGGGAAAAGGGAGAAGAAGGAAGAGAAGGAGAAAGAGGAGAAGTTGGTGGTGGAAGTGGCTTGGTGGCAGAGGAAGATCAAGGGTATATTTAGAAGTTGGAGTAATGGTGGAAGAAACAGAGTGAGAAGCAATGAGGTAAAGAGAAGAAATACCTGACTCCTGGGCTTTTGGCTTGAGCAACTGGATGGATTATGGTACGTTTATGAAATGGAGATGACCCAGGGAGGAGTAGATCTGAGGAAGAGGTGGGAACTGTGAGTTCTCATTGCACTAAGTTTTATGTAGATATCAGTTAGATAGCAAAATGAAGATGTTGAAAAAGCCATTGGGACACACAGGAAAGGTCAAGGCTGAAGCTTGAAATCAGGGAGCCATCAAATATTGTTTACTTCCCAGAATTGTGTGTGGAGGATCCAAAAAAGATACCAGAAATATTCCCCCCTTTCAAGGACTTAAAACACAGTTGGAAAACAAGACTAACATAAAATAACCAAATGGTTTCACAAACTGAATAATTACCCTTAGTAGAACTTGCTGGGTGCCAGATTTTCCAATGAGTGCTTTACAAGTATTGATCCTCAAAGATCTTATTTCACAGATACAACTAAGAGAAGTCAAATGACTTGATCAAGTGTCTTAGTCTGATCTCTTGTTATAGCAAAATACCAAGACCAAGTAATTTATAAAAAAAAATAGCAGTTTAGGTAGCTCACAGTTCTGGAATTTGGGAAGTCAGTATGAAGGTACTGGCTTGTGGTCAGGGCCTGCTTGCTGCATCATAATATACATGGTGTTAGGGTGAACAAAAGGAAGCCATGTTAGAACTGGACACCCTGCCCCTTGAAGGTGACTTACTGGAAACTTTCCACTCTGCCTTAAAAAAATAAACATCCACTGTTAGCCATTTACTAGAAATTCCCCACCTGGCCTAGAAGAAATAACCAGACTTTAGCCATTATTTCAGAGGGTCAAAGGGCCATTGAGGACTTTCCCACCCAGTGGCCTTCTTGGGACTTCTCCACTCACCTCCTATATCTACCCCTAGTCTGTGAGTGGCTGTGGGCTCCAGCTCTCTTTCTGGGGACTCACTCCACAGGGCTTCTTCCCAAATAATAAACCCTGTGCTGGTGTTGAGCTATCTTTCTGCCTATCTATTCTGTGCGCCTTTCATTCTGACACATGGCAGGACAGAGCAACCATGCCAGGAGAGCTGGCTTTTATATCAAAGCTATTGCTTTGTTATCAATCCATGAATGGACTCAACTCCCAAACGGTCTCACCTTCAAAAACCATTGACATACCACCTTAAGGAATTAAGTTTCTGACACATGAAATTTTGGGGACATGCACCAGAGTTGCACCATTAGTAAGTAACAGACCAGGTACTCAAACCAAGTCTGTCTGGTCCATGGTTATTTTGGGCCACACTGTAATCTCTAAAGAGATGTGCTGAAAGCCACCATGAGGGAGGCTTCCATAGCCTAAATATGTTAGGACATGATCTAGAATTTAAAGGATAAGTGGGCTCTAGACAGAGAAGGAGGGAAAGGGGGAGGAGTGATATAGTTCCTCTATATTGGAACCCTTGAGTTCCAATGCTGGATCTACTTCCAGCTTCTTTGTGACTGGAATCTACCCTGGCTGGCTGACTGGCTGTTTCTCGCGCTGAAAAAGCTAAGGGTTCAGTCATTCCTCTGATTTTTTTCATTCCACAAAGAGGACACCAGAGGGCGGCAATCCACCTCAAAGGATGCCATGTGCTGCTGACTTCACCTAAAATCAGTGTTAGCAATTCCACAGATGGATCACAGAAACTTTGCACACAGCCAGTGAGAAGAGACCTGGACAGAGCCATCCCCAAGATAAATCCCAGCTGCCCAGAGTTCCGGAAAGGAATTTGGAGGACACTAACAAACAGAACCCTAAGCCAAGATGTCCTATGGCCAAAACCTTTTTTGGTCTGATTTTGAACATATCTGTATCTATAGACATTCCAGCTAAAATTCCTCCCAGTAGGACCATCCTCTCTGAGCTTCTTTCTGTAAAAATGTGAGGCTAGCCAAGCTGTATATTAGTGCAGGGGAGGAAGAATGTCAGGGACTCCACCTGCCTAAAATATGGTGTGACTCTGGGATCAGGAGGCAGCTGAGAAGTGTCCTGGGATAGGAGTGGGATGGGGGAGGCTCCTAACCTGCAGGGGACCCTGAGACTTAAGCAGAGGGTAGGGGACTCACAGATGGCTAACAGTCAGCCAAACACTGCGTTATTTCCAAGCCAGACAAAGGATCCTTCAGCTCCTGGTGGGGTCCCTTATTTCTCTGGGGCCCTCTCTGGCCTTGTTTCTGATCCCTATCGGATATGCATTGGCCTCCATGTAGTCCCCACCTCTCCCCTCATCTGCTTTCCCAGTCTCCCCATTGAGGGGACATCAGTGGTGACTGGGTCTCCTGCAGACAGACCCATTCCCCACTGCCTTATGGGGCCTAGGGACGGATGGCTCACTCACTCTGGTGATGGAGGAAGTCATAGAGCTCCTTCATGACTGCCGTCTTCATGATCTCTCTAAGGAAAACGTCCTGCTCAGCCAGCTGCTGGGCGCTGAAGTGCTCCCCGTGGCCTGTGGCCCGCTGATAGTTATTGAGCAAGTTGATGAAGGCCGCATAGGTGGGCTTGGAGAACAGCTGTTCATTGACATAGGTGAAGAGCCTGGGGCAAGTGGACAAAGACCTACTGAGAGCCCTGTACATATAGCAGAAACCCTTCCAGAAACTTCCACATAGGCCAGGGATGGCATACGAGGGAGGGTTCGGGAACAGAGGGGGACTTCAGATGCTCTTGAAGGCCACACAGAAGATCTCTCTTCTTCTACCTTCATCTCCTCATCTCTTGGAAGAGCAGTGCTACCCTCAGCCTGGACAGCCCAGTGGATACCCACAGCACCCCAAGGTGGCTTCTTTGTCTTTGGCCACCTATTTTTTCCCCTCTCCTTTTGATCCTGCAAAGAGCTGGGGCATCAAAGGAAGCGAGTGGGGCGGGGGAGACTGAAGGGAGCAGAAGGAATGAGAGAGACTCACGGCTCTGGGCATCGATCCACTTGGTCTCTAGTTTCCGATGGGGAGATGCGGTTTTGGCTATTGAGAATAATGTCTTCCTTCTGGGCCTTGTTAGTGTCTGCGCTATAGATCTTTTCAGAGACGCTCTTAAGTTCCTCATTAGTTATGGTATCGCTGCTGTGGGAGAAGCCCTCTAGGAGGAATTGGGGAAGGGGTTGTCTCAGAGCCACAGGGAAGGAGTACAGGCAACCGTCTCTGTGCACCCGCTCCTGGTCCCTCTGGAAACCCACATGAAGGAAAGAAGCCACCATCAGACACCCTAGAGGTTGGAGGGCAGAGGCCTAGTGGACCCTTAAAATCAGCACAGGTCATTGCCGCCATGTCCACAGAATGTCCACCCTGGTCTTTCCCTCCGGGAAGGTTCTCATACAGCGCAGGCATCAGAATCCGCTGGAGAGCCTGGCCCAGAGTGTCTCTTATCTGTGGTGAAGCTCTTGGTGTGCATCTCAGACGATGCTGATGCTGCTAGTCCAAGGCCCATGCTTTGGAAATCTCTACCCTAGAGAGTCCCTGTGTCTCTGGGCTATGCTGAAGGGACAGACTGACCGTGGTCACCACACAGGCTCTCGAAATCCTTGCAACAGTTCCCAAACTCTTGGCAGCGGTCGTTGCAGTGGCAGGGGTGGTGCTTGTCGTAGGTTTCGCCGCAGCGGCTCTGGCAGGAGCTGGGTGCCAAGTACAGGTCTGAGAGGCAGAGGGGAGATGTGTTCCAGGCAGCCGCTAGAGGGCGCGCTGAACACCCGCGGGCCCTGCCTGCGGTCCCTCAGGCCCAGCTCCCCCTCCCGATCTTTTTCACTAAAGGTCTCCAGGGAAGGACAACAAACAAACTTAATTCCTGCACACCCTGCAGTCAGGAAGTCCCTTCTGATGCCGAATTTGCTTTCTGGCCTGGTGTTTTTATAATCTTCCCACTCTAAAAATAAAATCCCTTCCACTTCCCTCCCCAGACCTCAGGCTCTCTTTCCTGATCCCCACCCCACTACCCAACCCTGCTTTGGCTGCTTAGGCCCAGAAGCGTTTCCCCCCTGGGCCCCAGTCCAAGCTGAGCTCTCTGCATTAGGCCTGGCCTGCGGCCTCCGGTATGGCACCCCCTCCCCTTGTCACATCCTTGTGTTCCCTCCTTTTCCTGAAGGCTCCCATCTGGGGTGCAGGCTCACTGTTGGCAGGGCCCTCTTCCTCCAGCTCCAAGAGTGCCTCCGACTCTGTGGGGTCCTCATCTTCAGCTGCAGGTGGAGAAATAAAGTCAACAGCCATCCTCAAGAATTCCTTCCCCCTTTCTTTCCTGGTTCTCAGCTCCCCCAGCCTCAGGGACAAGAATGTCCACTGAAAGCAGATAATAAATAAGGGGTACAATGGACAAGCCCCAAATGCCAGAAGATGAAAACCAAAAATGGAAGGCATTTCCGACAGAGGTCAGATTACTGAGATTTTCTAAAAATGAAAATAATTTCTCCAGGTGACAATTTCTTACCATGTTACCATCTTGGTATGCAGTGTGCTCATCTGTAAAAAGGGGAGGTGAGGCAGGGGTGGTTCCTTCAGGATTGAAAACTCTTGACATTCTTCAAATGACAAGCCCTCACCTAAGAACAACCCATTTCATCATAACTCCTGGTCAGAGTCAGGGGAGAATTCTTAGGCCTCAACAAATAATCGTTTCCTGAGATCCCAGCTTCCCTCTTTAGCCCACATGTTCCGGATTCTCATTCCTCTTGCTGCCCATTCCCTCAGCCGGCAGGCTAAGGCATGGCTGCCTCCACTCCAGACAGACAAGGGCGGGATGGAGGTGGGGAAGAAGAAGAAAGAATGTTCCTGGGAAATCTGAGTTCCCCTCTCATCACATAGTGAAATAACCCCTACCATCCTCCAAAGAAAAGGTACTGTTACAAAGTGATTTGGAACCTATTAGTGCATTTTCTGGGCAGTATTGTATTATTCCCATCAGAACCACCAGTCAAGTTACTCATTCAGTCAACAGACATCTCATCACTTACTGGGTACCAGGTTGTGGGGCTGTGGGTTTTTTGTTTTGTTTTGTTTTGTGGTACTGTGGTACTGGGTCTGTAGGGAGAAAGAAGTGCCTTTTCTTAATTTGTCCAAAGGTGGTATCTGTTGACCTAGCTATGTGCCACAGAGCTGCTTCCACTCACATGGAAACTTTTTCAATTTACACAAAATAGCATATTTTAGCAGCGGTCCTGACGTCAGGCCCAGGTCAAGAGCTCAGTAGCTAAAGCAGAGGCCACCATTTTCTGTTGTCTGGTGTTCTCTTCCCATTCAGCAGACACAGAATGACCTGTTCGGTTGGACCACCATGCTGGCATTTCAAGATACACACAATACTTAGCTTAGGGGCCATCTGTCTCTACGTTTCTCATTTGTAGCTCAGAAACTCTCTCCCATAGGAAAACAAAATATTATGAATGCTGGTTGTAACTCCAGCTGAACTCACAAAAGTCTATGTAGGCTAACGTGGCTGAATAAAGAAATGTATGGATTTCTAACACTTAAAACAGCCTAGCCAGGCTCTGGTAGCTCACACCTGTAATCCTAGCTACTCAGGAAGCAGACCCAGGTCTATATCAGGGCACACAACTTGGTAGAAAAGGACACACCAGATTTTGGTTTGCCTCGGCTGCTCACCCAGGGTAGACTTATACAGTGCATAACCTGTACAACCATATATGGTGGTCTTGCTGACCATGACCTATCACTGCTTCAGTGACCATGCTTTTCAACCTAAGAATTAGGTAATATAGTCTGACAGTGAACTTAGCGAGGCTTCATATCACGAAGTAGAATATCATTCAGAGGGAAGTCTGCAATACTGGAAGAATTTAAACAAGGAAACTATTCAAAAATGATTTTTCAAAAGTCATTCACTTAAAGCTGAGGCATTGGAGTAGTGAAGGAGCATGTGGTCTGCAAGGACAATGTGTGTCCTGTTTTGACTGGTGGTGTAGGAATGACAATTTGGAGATGTGTCTGCTCAGTCCACTTGCCAGAGAAGAGTGGTATGTGTTGTGGTAGTCCCTGTGATGACACACAGTCCTTCTGGTGGCATGTACAATGTGAGAGCTCACTACCATCTTTATATTCATGTGATTTCAAGTATGAGTGGCAATTGGTAATGTCATAATGCTAAAATATTATCATTTTTCTCTTTGGTGGAATTAGGTACTGAAACTCCAAAGATACTGTTTATACTGATCAGTCAAATATTGCAGGTGAATTTTAAGTTGGGGACTTCCTAGAAAACCTGAAACCAGTTTAGTGACCAGATCCCTGAGCCCTGTGCTCCATAGTGCTTTTCTTCTGGGTCCTGGAGCCCTCTCTCAGTCCTCAATCCCACTCTGGACTGCTGGATACCCAGGACCATGGCCCTTTTGGCAGGCTGGACTTGCACGTGGCCTGGCCTGCTATGCCTCCCAACCCTTCATCCCAAAAGGAGCCTCACCGGTACACAGATGTTCGTAGTCCTCACAGCAGTCTCCATGCTGGGGACACTGGCGGTCACACTGGCAGGTAGCGTCTTGGTTAAACGTCTCATTACAGCGAGATGCACAGGAGTCCATGGTTCCTGGGAGCAGTAAAGACCACAAACTCAGCTCTCTGGTAATCTATGAGCCTCCTAACGACACTGCCTGCAAGAGGGTGTCCAGATGGGAAGGGCCTCACCTTGCAGGAAAGGTTGTTGCTATATGCAGAGGAGAAAAATATCCACCTTCCCCTATAGCCAGCATAAACTTCCACCTGCCATGACTAGCTCAGGACTCATAACACTGGAACCAGGATCCCAGACTCAAATGCCTATCTGGGGAGATCTGTGACATCAAAGAAGCAGGATAAGGGCAGGAGGAAGAGGTGAGGACTGTGACAAACTTGAGAGTGATGCCCTATCTGCAATCTAGGCAGCCACTTCTCAGCCCCATATAACTGTGGCTTGGTATTGCCAGAGCCTCCAGATTTTCAAAAGAAACCTTCATTTTTGTGTGAAAAGATTCCAGTTTTTAAAACTTCAGGCAGGTCAAAGAAAGAGGTCTGTGGACTGGATGGGGGTCACAGGCCACCATTGCCTGTCACGCAGATGAAAGGAAGTCATTGCTGCTTCGGTGGTGCCACCTGCCCTCTCCCTCTGCCCCCATCCTGTCCCTTTTACACCTTTGCTTCTTTGTTCTTGCCCTCCTTACACTGACCTCTGCTGCAACCTATTTCCCCTGAGTCACATCTCTCTGTCCCTTCCAACCTTTGGAATACATTCAGATGAGTTTATGCTCCGGGTGGGGAATGAGGCGGGTGTGGGTGAGAATTGGGCTTCGGGACAGAATTCTGTTATGCAACCACAGACCACATGGTTCACTCCAGCCAAATGGTTTGCAGAAGCAAGCTTTTGGTCACAAGGGGTGTAAAAAAAGAAATTTTGAAAGGAACAATGCAAACTCACTACCATTCTGGAAAGACAAAGCAAAACGAAAACAACAGACTTCACCATGCCCACCACAGCAAAGATAGGGATCCAGCCAAAGGGCTGGTTCCTCCCACTCTAGGCTTTAGGGACGATAACAGAGCCTTTGTTTCCACTTGAGGTTCCTAAGGTTCGGAGATGAAGAATGCTGGGTTTTGGGGTCAGGCTCAGAGCTGCACAGAATGTCAAGATCAGAGTCACATGTACTATGAGTGTCAGAATCTGATCAATGAGGAAACAGAAGCTTAAATTGGGCTAGGTCTGGAGTTAGGCTTAGCCTAAGAGCCACCACAGTGAGGACCTGGGCTTGTATCAAGTTGACTGATAAAGTAGCCATTTTGTGTTGCTATTTGAGTAAAAAATAAGTTAGATTAAAAATGACATTTGAGGGTGAGGAATGTGCCAAGATTAGAAGGGAGGAAAATAATCCCAGTCTTGCCTTAGGTTGTATCCACAGTATGTTTCTAGTTGGAGTTTGACACAGGTCTAGTATGGCCATTTGTGTCTGTCCCAGGTGAAGGTGACTACTGCAGAGAGGGTTTGGACTCGGGTTGGGGTTTATTCGATGTCTGACAAGAAGATGGCACAGGATAGAGGAGAACCTGGGCTCTGGCACCAAACAATTTGGAGTTGGATTTCTGGTTCTGCTGCTTTCTAGCTATGTGATCTTGGACAAATTATTAAATGTCCTGTGCCTTTTTTCCTTATCTGTAAAAGTGGGGAACTATTGAAGCCTATCTCATAGAATGTGTGTAAGAATCAAATGAGTTAATATTTAGAAAGCACTTAGCACAGTTCGTGACACATAGGAGAACCATAGAAGTATTTATTATGTAAATAAACAGCGGCAACATTCCATGGCCATGTTCAAGGTGGCAAGTGTTCAGACTGGCTGGAGCAGTGGTCTCTGCCCAGGGACTCTGCCTACACACTCCATCTGGCCTACTCCCTTCCTGGGTTTCAACAGGGCCACCCTGTGGGTTGAGCTGTCAACACAGATATGTTGCTGATGGTTTTCAACTGTCATCACTAAGAGTCTATATTTTTTGCATAATAGAGGTGTCAGGTCAAAGTTAACTTCACATTATATGCAGGGCATCGGAAGCATCCAAGGCGACGGGACTCCTGTGTCCTTTAAGGATTGTCCTAAAGGCTACCCAGCCTGAGGCCACTTTTCCCCTTAAGCACTCAGGAACTGCTCATGAATCTTAAATGATCTGTCTTGGCACCTGCATGCAAAGGTCCGAAGGAGAAGTGTTCAGCTCAGGAGGAAGCCAGGTCAGCTGCCAGCTCCGCCAGCCTGGCAGTACACCCAGGATCCAGCGGGAGAGAATGCGGGCGAATCAGCGCCTTGTTTTTAATGGGCCAGACCAGCAGAGTCCAGGGAAGGAATTCACCCCATTCCAGCACTGGCACCCGTTGACAAGGAAAAGTGAATAGCTGGCAGTAGCGCTCAGGGGGACACCCCACCCCCAGCCCAGTCTATGTGGAGTTTGTCATCTCTGCTCCAGAGTTTTATCCCCAGTAAGAACCTCATGTCCAGGGATCCTCCCATTCCTCTATAAACTTGGTGTGCTTCAAGGTGACCTTGGGACATGAGGGTAGGGCAGAGGTGGGAAGGACTTTTCCTCATAGGCACCTTGCTGTACTGTGCTGGGGACACTAAGATGACTGGTTACCCTGACTACTCACTCCAGTGCCCTCACCCCGCACCTCCTGTCGGTACAAATGCTCCGTGTAGGCCTCACTCACCAAGCCAGGGCCTGAATCATTGTTCCAGCAGCCTTCTGTCTCTCGTCCCTTTGCCTCATCTCTTTGACTCTCTGCTTTTCTTGATTTTTTTGCCTTTTCCTCTTGGAACCAATCCCTAGATTCTCCCATTTCTCCTGAAGAGCTCTGAACCCTTCTCCCCACACTCCCATACACACACACACCATGAAATACCACATTCCTCTACACCTTCTAAGTCTTTTTTTTTTTTTTTTTGGTGGTACTGGGGTTTGAACTCAGGGCCTCATGCTTGCTAGAGCTACTCTACCAGTCCTTTTTTGTGTTTGCTATTTTTGAGATAGGATCTCGCAAACTATTTGCCTGAGCTGGTTTTGAACTGTGCCTCCTGATCTCTGCCTCCAGTGTTCTAGGATTACAGGCATGAGTCACCAGCTTCTAAAATCCCTCTAAGTCTTTAATGTACAACAGCCTCTACTCCCCATCTACTCTGGTCATCAAGAAGACCTGGTCCCAAGAAAGACACAAGGCCCCTGTATGCCAGCCCTCAGCTTCTCTACCCACTGTGTGCCTCTCAGGGGGCCCCCAGATGCTGTTTCAATGGAGACCTCATCAACCAAAAAGTTTCATCTCTAGGACCAGCTTCCTGCCTCTCTGTTCACTTGAAACTGCCAAGGTCCTAGGCAGCACCTGGCTTAAAAAGGAAGACAAAGGCTGGCCAAAACTCCCCGTGTAGTTCACATTCTAGGATCCAAGTCCTAAGCTATTGGGATGAACTGAAACTAGCAGAACCTCTTCCCTCCTGCCTTCAAAAGCCTCACCTCTCCACCCTCTCTTCCTGTCAATCCCAGGTCTGAAAGTTGCCCTCGCCCCCAGCATTCAGGCACTATCTGTACTTCTTTTTATTAATTTTATTGTGTGTGTGTGTGTGTGTGTGTGTGTGTGTGTGTGGTACTGGGGCTTGAACTCAGGGCTTTCACCCTGAGCCACTCCACCAACCCTATTTTTGTGAAGGGTTTTTTGATAGGATCTCGAGGAACTATTTGTGTGGCTGGCTTCGAACCTTGATCTTCCTGATCTCTGCCTCCTGAGTAGCTAGGATTATAAGTATAAGCCACCAGCACCCAGCTTTTTTTTTTTTTTTCAGCACTTTTTTTTTTTTTTTTTTTGAACTCAGCACCTCACACTTGCTAGACAGGCACTCTACTGCTTGAGTCACTCTACCAAGCCTGGTTGATTTTACTATCTGCACTTCTGAAGTCAACATCACCTTGCCCTCAGAGACATCCCCCAGAGATCAGACATGTCCAAGCAGCCTCCTCTCCTGACGCTGGGTAATCTAAGCCACAAGCCTCTCCTCCACACTAGACCCATGTGGCCCATGTACCCTACTTCCTCCAACCAACAGACCTGAGGCTGAGGGCTTTACACCTTCTCTCCATCTCTACCACTTCCTCTCCACCACCTGGGGCCTAGGCAGAGCTGAGTCCTAGGCAGAGGTACACAGTCCCATCCAGAGTTGGTAAGCCTGGGTCCAGCTTCTTCTTCCAAAGGTTTTCCACTTAGGAATCCCATTAGGGGGTCTCCTTATCTACAACCTGATTGGAAATGACCCCAAAAGTCAGCCCCCCCCGGAATATTTATGATTGCAATCCTAACTGAAGTCCCAAGGCCCTGAGATGTCTCTCCTTCTGCATTGTCTTATTTGATCCTTTCAACAGTCCCAGGCAGGAACAACCTGAGAGGATGGAATGGCATGGAGCTCTGTCTCTTTCTCCTCAGGCAGAGGAGTGTTCTGCCCACACCCCTCAGCTCAGCCCCCTCCCTTGGCACCCCTCCCTACTCACCACTAACCACCAATTAGCACCTAGGCATCAGCGTTTTGTAGTTACAAAACAGGAAGATGTTCCTTTCCTCTGCCAGAGCTATCTCCTGCATCACCTGCAACTGTGGGCTAGGTCTCTTCTCTACTGTTTGTTCCTCTAACACCAGAATAAAGACCCATTCTTTTGACCAACAGCCCCAGATGGGGTGAGACCCACCTTCTAGTCAGGGGCTCCTGATTTCCTTCTGAGCCTGCCCATCTCCCAAGGCTTTACCTAGAGAAAAGTCACACCCCAGACAACCTCACCTATCCTTAAGTAGCAGGGGAGAGAGTGATCAAAGACAGCCAGGCCTCTCCAACTCAGCAGGCTACAGCCCCAGCTTTATATCATACAGTGGCCCCAGAAAGCAAAATCTTGACAAGATCAAAAGTTCAGTTGGACTAGTGATGTTTGGATCTGGTCCTCCAAGATGTCAAGAAGGGGTTTCCACGAAATTAATCCATTAGTCCTGCAGCTCCCTCAATATCATCCAGTTCATTCCAGAGGCAGCTCTTATAGCTTCAGACCAGACAGGCCAAAATCACTCCATAGCTGTACGACAGAGTTCACCCTCCTGTGTTCCACAACCCCCACCTTCTGCCAGGTATCCCAGCCTTCTGTTCTTTAGGCAAGACCTCTACCCACCCCACTCCCATGCCCACCAGAGAGCAACTTACCAGCCCAGGCCAGGCCACAGAACATGGCCACTGTCAGGGGGACACAGACCCTCATGGTGCCCAGTTGGAGGGGGTTGGCTGTTGGATTTTCACTAGAGTGAAGCTGGAAGTATCACAGCTGTCAAATAAGCCTTATTGCCCAGGTTGATCCTTTTAAAGACATCAGGACTTGTGGATCTGGTGTGTCCAGATCCTTCCAGGAAGAAAAAGGAGGGGGGAGGTATCCCAAATGGATAGGAGGTAGACAGAAGGTGGGGCCTACAGCTGTTTGAAGCCAGAGAGAAGGTGACTAAACAGGCAGGTAATGTCAGATATTTAGAACAGGTAGTGCTAGCTGTTTGTAGATAGAAAATAGGCCATTCACATAGATGTAGCAAGATGGGCCTAGTTTGGCAGGTTCTTTATACAAATTAGGGACATGCATGTGCTTATCTTTGAGTAGTTCTCTTTAAACACCTACATACCTATAGTCACAGACCTGATGTGCCAAGAGAGCATACGTTTAGATTCGGATTCACTGGGATTAAAAGGAACACATCTTGTCCCGCTTCTCACATGATGCAAAAACCTCATGCACATCCCCAGTGGTCATCCTGCCTCCATTGAATAGCTCTGGGGCTGAGAAGGGTTGGGGTACACCTCTCAGGGATGCTCATCTCCACTTCCCAGGTCTCATTCCCAACCCAAGCATGCTGATGTAGGCAAAATTCGATAGACAATAGGGAAAAATCCATTAGGCTAATAAATGAACACACATCAATACATTCATGCAAAGATGACTCATGAGTAAACTTAGATGGTCACATATCCATATGTATGTGCACAGATAAAGTATGTATTTGAAACAGGTTTCTCCTTCTCTGCTAGCCTAGGCAGAGAACTCCTCTGCTTCTCTTTCTCAATCCTCCCCCAGCTAGTGCTCACACTTTCCACCTTTGCAAAGTTCTTTCCAAAGAGTCTCAGTGGGGACCAGCCCGTAAGGTGGGAGTCCTAGGAGGCTGGGTCCAGGAGACTTGGAGTGAGGAGAGGTGGAGGGAGAAGTTGTGGCCTCTGTGGAGGGTGGGGAAGATGGTGAGCTGCTCAGGCCAGCGTCCAGGAGGCAGTCACCTGTCAGAGATGTGGGGAATGGATCCCATTGAGCAAATATTTATCAAGTGCTCAGTGTATGCAGAGGGCTACACTGTAATTGGACTAGCAGGGATCAGACCAGGCCGTAAAACTCTTCTTGGAACTGATTGGTTTCTGGGGGAACAGAAGACAGATGAGCCCATATTACAGCACTGTTAGAAGTAGGCCCCACTCATCACTGGGCTGTCACCAGTGGTCAGGGGCTTGTCAGGACTAGAAAGCTGAGGGAGAGACTGGCACAGAAGACTACTAAGGGAAACACATCCCCAGGCCAGCCTATCCCAACACCCTTATCCTACAAAACCAAGGTCAAGTCTTTTCAGCAAAGGATCAGAGCCTGGAAGTTCCTTGTAGCTGGCCTGCCACATGTAAGATCTCGATTCACTCCCAAGTGGACCCTGTCACCTGAAGATGCAGGGTCTACAGCCTCCAGCCTGCTGTGGCCTGGGAGTACTGTTCTGGTCCCAGGAGAGAGGCTTAGGATGGCTGACTACATCTGATCTGTGTCTTAGAAATGGCTGTATGTGTGATTTCTTTCCCTCCATTGGTTTGAATGTTGCATCCCACATTTGTGTTTTGAAGTTTGCAGGCAGCCCTGACACTCAGCAACACACTCACTGCCCAGCCTACCTTGGCACATTAGTCAGTCCAGCCAGCTGGGTCCATTCATCAGAGAGTCTCAGGTTGTACATCTGGTTCTGCTGGCCACACCCTGTGCTGGTCCTCTGCCTGGAATACCCTCTGCCCACCCTCTCTGCTCGCCTACCATCCATCTGCTTCTCATCCTCCAGCCCACAGAAGCCCTTCTGCCCATGCACTCAGTTCTTGATATTGTCCTGTATGCCTTTGACACATCACAGCCACGTGTAATAGGCGGCTAAGTCCATTGCTACCAGTGTGTGATATCAGTGAATCCTTACACTGCCATTTAACTTTTCATCCATACCAGCTATTTCTTCAGCTCAGCTCAGCTCTGACATTCCTTGACATGGGAATTCTGCTTCCTCTGTCCCTGCTGCTTTGTCTCCTTGGTGCTCTCCCATTTCTGATAGATAACTGTCAACACATGCTTGGGCCCAGCAATCAATCAATGCATGACTGCATGATGGAACTGGGTGGCGTCCAGTCCCACTTGTTTCTAAAGATTAGAGTGATGATTGGAAAAACAGGGCAAATAGCTGGAGCCCCATCAGCTGGGAAGGCTGCAGAGTTTGAATTAGGGGACTGACAGGCAGTGGGTGAAAATAGGGTCTAGGGATTCACTTCAAAGTTTCATTTTTATATAAAACACACTTGCTAAAAACGTTTTGAGCAATATTTTATGTGTATTTGGGGCCAAAGGAAATTGGGGGGGTTCCTAAACCCTCAAGTCACCTGCTTTAGTTTGGATGTGGTTTGTCCCCTAAAGGTTCACGTGCTAGAGGTTTGGTTGTTAGTGTGGCCTCAATGTTGAGGTGGGGACTTTAAAAGGGACACTGCCCTCCAAAGGAATTAAGGGAGCCCCTTGGCTAGTTCTCAGGAGATGGTTGTTATACAAGAAGTAATCCTGGCCACTCCATCTCACTCTGGCTTCCTGTCTGGTGACAAGATCCCTCACTCCCACACACCACACACACTCTTGCTATGATGTCATGTGCCATTAAGCCCTCACCAGTCTGAATCAATGGGACCACATAATCTTGGACTTTCAGTCTCCAAAACTGTGAGAAAAATAAATCTCTTCTCTTTGTAAAATTACCCAGCTTTCAGTATTTTGTTCTAGTAACAAAAAACAGACTAATACACCATGATTCCAACACCCTCCACTGCCAGAGTCAGCCACCACAGAGATCAGTCAGAGCCTGGGATTACAGCAGTTCTAAATCCACAGATGAACTCAATTTTATCCTACTTTTTTAAGACCCTAAAGTAACCAGCTGCCTACACCTTGTGCCGGCTGTACTAATGTTTGCTTTACACTGCCCAATACTAATGATGAAATAAAATTATTATTGTGGCTCCTCAAAATCCACTGGCTTTGGAGAGCATCTAGAGGCTCCACACAAAGCGAAGTGGAAGAGACAGGCAGAAGCAATTACAGAGGCTCAGAGAGCCAGCAAAAGCAAGATCAAGAGAGAGAGATGTGCCTGAGGCCAACCAGGAGCCAGGTGCTGACAAAAGGCACCTTGCCAGCTTCTGGCCCTGGGTGTGTTGGCACAGAGAGGATGTTCTGAACTCACAAAGACGATGACAGGATCCAGGACCAGCAGGGAGTGGTTCCTGACCCATGTGTGAAAATCTACACTCTCAAAATTATCCTAATTATGGTGCTAAGGTAGTCGGGTTATAGGAAATTTCCCCCATTCTCGTACATTCGATTATTCATTCACCTGAGAAATGGTAACCCAGTGCAGCTGAGGACCAGACACTGCCTAGGCACATAGCCACAAAGGCAAGCAGCTAAGCACCTTGAGGGAATGGGAGACAGAATGAAAGAAGTGAGTTTCAAGATCTTACTGCAGACAGCAGGACACAGCACTGAGACCACTGATCCCGAAATCAGCTGGCCTGTCCAATCCCAGCCCTGCCACTCACCAGCTGTACAACCCCAGCAAGTTTCCTGGCCCTCTATGCCTCAGTTTTGCTATAGATGTAAAATAAAGCAAGGAAGAATACCTAAGGAGGCTGTTGTGAGCACTCAATGAGATAATACTCACAACGCTTTTAAAACAGTGTCCAACACATAATACAATCTGAAAAGTATTTATTTATTTACTGCAGTACTGGGGTTTGAACTCAGGCCTACACTGGCCCTTTTTTGTGATGGGTTTTTTCCGAATAGGGTCTTGCAAACTATATGCCTGGGCTCTTCGAACCGAGATTCTCCTGATCTCTGCCTCCTGAGTAGTTAGGATTACAGGTATGAGCTACTGGCACTTGGCGTGTTTATTTATTTTTTTAAAAAAATATAGGGCCACAAGGGGCTGGATTGAGGTAGAATAATTAGGGAAGCTCTAGAACTCAAGTAGAAAGCACCCAGTCATGCACTCACCCAGGATGTAGGGGCAATTTAGGAGTAAGGAACTCTTAGCGTCTGTCAATAAAACTACTCACCAGTGAGCATTTATCCGGCATGTGAGAGGCCCTGGGTTCAATCCCCCGCGCGTGCGCGCGCACACACACACACACACACACACACACACACACACACACACACACACACATCCTGCTGTCAGAGGTCCAGCAACAAAAAGTCACCCTATTTTCACTTCTCTGAGGCTGGAGTCTCCAAAGGGCCAGGAAAGCCTACACTGGCCTCCATTCAGCAACCCAAAAACAACTCTAGTGACCGTGACTCACATCCAAGTCAGAAAACTGAGACCCTGAGCACTCTCTAACGGCCACGAGCAAAGCAGGCATGTCAAGTGAGGTGCAAATTATCCAACTCCCTGGTCCCAGGTCCACTCTAGCCACTCTCCACATGAGTAACCAGAACCCCATACCTCCCAGAAGACCAATCTCAGCCTTCTTCCTGCTTCCTGGGAGTCATTAGGCTCCTTCCTTGTGTCGTTCCACCCACTGCCCCCAGGAGCAGCCCCCTGATTCTAGCAAGGTCACCTGCTCCAGGAAGGCCCCAAGGCATGGGAGAGAAGACGCTAGTAAGTAGCTGAGTCAGACTTGACTTCTCAGAGCAGTCCAGTTTCATCATCAGCAGGAGGGATGGCAGCCACCCACCCTCTGAGCCATAAGACCCTTCATCAGCAGGCATCATCAAGCTGGGCTACAGGAAGGCTACAGCTCAGTCTTAGAGATTCAGGATCTGAGAAAAGGATCCTTGAATTGGCTGGGCAATTGGACAGGCCTTGGTGGATACTTAGTTCAGGCCCATGGCCCTAGACTTACGAAAAGATCAATACTTTGTGAGGGGGGGCAGGGTATAACACACATTTTAGAAACACATGCTTTCTAACCTATGGATTGAAGAAAAGACAGAACAATCAAGATCAACAGCCAGGTCAGAACTTACTCCAGCCACCAGCCACAGCTGTCTGGAACCCAGGTACCTGTGAATACCTCCAGCAAAGAATTGTGCAGGCTGAGCTATGAACCCACATTCCAACACAGGAGCAGCTCTGGGCCTCAGTGCTTGGGAGTGAGCAGCGATTCATGGCAGCCCTAGATTTTTACTACCCTCTGCACTTGACCCTGAAGAATTTTCCCCTTCTGATGGACTTGTCTGCCTGGTTGGGTAGATTGCTCCATGAAGGCCAGGACTGCCTGTCTTGTTTGCAAACCCCTGCCAGGACTATAGTGTTTGAAAATGCAGAGTCTTGGGAACAGACAGAGAAAGCATTCTCTATGCTGAGTGCAGTCTTATAAGAGAAGAAAACGTTGGGGTTCAGGGAGGTGACACTAGGTGTGTCAGGGACATGAGGCAGGGACTTGGCTAATATTCAGTTACTTCACCCAGCCTCCCTGTTATTAAGCAGTTATGTGACCTTAGGCAAATCTTTCTGTGCCTCAGTTTCTTTGACTGTAAAACAAGGGTAAAAACACCTGTAGTTTCTATTCTGTCATCAGGATAAATGAAAGAGATACATGTGAAAGTGTAACAAGGAAAAGGATGGAGACACTAATCAAATCTCAACCTGTCACTATCATGCTAGAGAGATGCAACCCTACCTGGTAGAGTCCTAGCCTGGCTCAGCCTGTGGCTGTGGCCCTCACAGAGAAACTTAAAAGGACAGGAGAAGGGGTCATATGTGTGCAAGAATGACCCCGTCTGTTCTGTACACACACACAAACACACCCACCCTCTCTGCTCTACCTTTTAGGTAATAGGTGTTTTAAAGGACAGATCTCGGACCCCCTCCCTCACACCTCCCTCTCAACAAGCCCATGAATTCTGTCTCCCATTTGGGCCCCTGAAACTGGGATATAAACAAGAGCCCTACACACATCTTAGGACTCTTGGGATCAGGAGAGGCCTCCTGACCTATCCCACACTTGGGTGTCAATCACAAGGCCACCAAAAGGAGACTGCCCTCCTTGGGCTTCTGTCTTCCAGTAGTAGCCAAGCCCCTGCATTTCAGCTTTTCCTGTACCCCAAATCTGTGTCCCCTAGTACCACTCTGGGCACTGTTTTCCTGGCAAGACCTCTCCCAGCAGGCTTAGAACTGTCCTGCCTGAGTGCAGAGATTGCAGTCATCCAAGGAGGAAGAAGGGACCCACAGGCAGCTGAGAAGTTCCAACAGGACACAGATGTAACCAGAGAAGAAGAGAATCAGAGAAGGACAAAAGCCTGTTGCTTCACTGGGCCACTGACATGTTGCCAGCTGGTCTCGCCCTGGAGTCTGAGAGGAAGGCAAAGGACTGTGACTGGCTGACTGGTGTGGCCTTGACTAAATACCAACAGACAATAGGCTTAGAAGAGAAGCTCCTGGGACTCCTGACTCACCAAGGATTGGTCCTTGAGTCACAATTGCTCAGTTTCCATCCCTACCCACAGGCAAGGAAATGGCATTGGTCACCATTGCCATTGGCTCCACCTCCATCACTACCTTGAACTCCACCCCAGGTGATGCTGCCTCTCTACCACACTGTAGACATAGGACTGCATGTGGTGCTCACCCCTGCCAGAGGCAAGAGCTGCAGTTTTACTTGCTTATCACTAACAACCTGATGGCAATCATCATACCCATCTTACAGAGGGGAAAGAAGGCAGAGAATTGTCAACTGACTTGCTCAGATTCATTAGAAACCTGACATATAATCCCCACTCGACTTCCCTGCCAAGGGCTCTGATCTCTTCTGGAAGCAGCTGGCACTTGTGTCCACGGCCTCAGAGCTGAGGACTCTGGCAGTGGGAAGGCAAGGTGTGTCAAGCCTGAGCCCCAGCTCCTGTGCCTGCAAAGCAAGTGAGGGTTCACACCAGCCGCCCCCCTCTCCCTGAAGTTGTCCAAGGGCCCTGCTTCCTGAGCCCACTCAGGACTGTCCTGGTTGCTGTGAGATCTCTCCTAGGTCAAGGTGCCTACCGCTCCTGGGTTCCAAGGCAAGAGCAGAGAGGGTGGGGACTGTTTGGAGCTTCCTGGCATAAGCTTAGGCCAAGGAAGCTTATGCTTCCTAAGTACATCCTAAGGGGTGTACTGACAGGCAGGGAAGAGAGGACTGAACCCCCACAGAGCTTTCTTGGGCCAAACTCATCACCAAGGAGAAATCCTGGAATGCTCTCAGGCCTTAGCAGGGATTCCCTATTCTCACAGCCTCCATCTTGGTATCTTCTCTATCTCTCTTCTTCCCCCCAGGCTTCCATTTATCATGAACAACACCCAACAGGATCAAGGGCAGAAAAACAGGGACTAGAGTTAGCAGGAAACAGGTAGAAGATGCTATTTGCCTTGGGACTGTAATCAAATCTACTGTGGAGAATGGATGGTTTCCCTAGCTGGCTGGGACAGGGCCCCCAGGCTGGGAGGTACAGCTGGGTAGCAGTTAACCATCCTGGAGCCCTAACTTGGTCCCAGCTGTGGTGGTAGTGCTGCTGTCAGCGGCTCTGCAAGCACCCTTCTCCCCAGCTCCATCCAGAGGGTAGGGTCTGCTCTCCTCTGCCACACCCCCACAGCTGGCCTCTGAACACACATATCTTTGTAAACTTATGGGAACAATAAAACTCCTCAGGGACCACCACTCCCAGCCAAACAACCCTACCCACACCCAACTGTTTATCTCAGATGTGTGGAAAGAAAAGCAGCAGTCCCCACCCCCACATCCCAACCCCTGTGCGCACACATGCCAGGCACGTGCAAGCTCTCTCAGTCCACTGTGGAAACAGGCACAGGGACCTGGTGGCGGCTGGACAGCAGAGCACGAGGCACAGAAGCTGGATGAAACCTGATGTGGAGAGCTCTCTATTGAACACAGAGTCCACCGTCTGCCCAGCTCTCCCACCCACTCCCAGGACCTCATTGTCCCCCATTCCTTGGCTTTGGGCCACAGCTCATTTCCACTCTTCAGTGGTCCTCCTTAGCTGCCAGTCATCACAGGGGACAGCCGCCTCCATGCCGCCCACTCCAGGGCCTCAAGTCCACTCCTTGGAGAGCCCTGCCCAGCTGTGACCAGCCTGTGGGTCTCTTGGCCCGGGCCTGCCCTGACTTTTCCGAGGGAAGTGCCTGCTTCAGTCCCAACCCTTCCTCATGGCTCCAGCTCCCGGGAGAGGCGGGAGAGTTCCCGCTGGTTGTCGATGACCTTCAGCTGCTGGACATAAGCCCAGGTGCTGGCTGGACTCCGGGTGCTCAGTGACTGCTCTGAGCCTGGCAGGGGGAGGGAAAGAGTCATTAGGGAAGCATTGAGGCCACTTCACAGAACCCATCCCTTCTCCCTCTAAGGAGCAGCCTCAACTTCCTGCCTTCACCACTCACCCTGTCACTTCTCTTCACCAGTCCCTGGGACTGCTGTCCTTGCACCCCCAACCTCCCATAGATTTGGGGGACAGAAGAGCATTGCAGTTAAGAGCAGAGTATTTGTTTATTTACTTATTGGTTGTACTGAGGTTTGAACTCTTGGCTTCACACTTGCTAGGTAGGCACTCTACCACTTGAGGTTCAGTAGGATCAAGAGTTCAAAGCCAGCCTGGGCTACATAGTTAGCCACTATCTCAAATAGCAACAACAATAACAATATATGAAAGTAAAAAACAGCCACACACCGGTGGCTCATGTCTATAATACTAGCAACTCAGGAGGGAGAGATCAGGAGGATCATGGTTTGAAGCCAGCCCATGCAAATAGTTCACAAGACCTTATCTCAAAAATAGCCAACCCAAAAAGGGCTAGTGGAATGGCTTAAGTGGTAGAGCACCTGCCTAGCAAGCTGAAGCCCTGAGTTCAAACCCCAGTACTGCCAAAAAAAAAAAAAAAAAACCCATAAAACAAAACTTAAATAACTGAAAATTCAGGATAGTAGTTGCTGTGGTTAGGAGGCAGGTGGATAGGGATTGATACAAGTTATTGCCAATGCTGTCATGTTAGACTGGGTCCAGAGCTCTATGAGCTATAGCACTTCATACAACTAAGGTCCTATTAAAAAAAAAAAAAAGCAGGCTGCATCAAGAGTGCTTGGATCCAGCTCTACCACTAACTATGAGGGCTTTGGCAAGTTGCTTCAAGGTTCTGGTCCTTTCTTCCTCTTTAAGTTGAGCAAACAGCATCGTCTGCCTCATAGAGGCACTAAAGAGGTGCCACCTCAAACACATCTTTGTCCCTGGCACCTAACAAGTGCCCAGAAGATGCCAGCCATGTAACAACGGTCAGCATCCACCCCTGTCCCCACCACTCACATGTGGAAATCCTTGATGTCTGGCTGTCCTCATGAAGGTGGGAAACTCGGCTTCTGAGTGGTGAGAGAGGCACTGGGCAGAGTGAGAGGGGAAAGTCAGGGAGATGGCCACACCTGAGCCTCCCAGGGGACACTGGGGGATCTCCCACCTGGGGGACCAGCTCTCTCACCAGTGCTGTGGCTTCGGCAGTGGTGCAGCATCCTCACTGCTCTGGCCATCATACGCTGTGAACAACACAAAGGCATGAGGTCTGGCCTGCAGACAGAAGCCTGGTCTGCCTCGGGGGTGGCTGGGGGGCCAAGCTCCCTTTGAAGCCCAGGCTCTTGGAGAGTACGAGCTATAAGCAATGGGGTCACAGCTGCTTCACCTAGCACACCCAGAGACCCAGCAGGTACCAGAAAGTGGACAGAAGACAGAGGTCAGGAAGAGAAGAGAGAAGGATTGGAAGGGGCTGTTACTGAATGGAGAAATGTTTGAGATGGTCACCCAGCAGCCCCAAGGGAGAGCAGATCATCCAGTGTGCAGCGGTGTAAGGCAGGGACTATTTCACAGTGCATGTTTATACTTCTATTACTTATAACAAATTTCAGTCACCTCTCACCCCTGTGCCTTCCCAGGCCACTGTCATATCCCCTAACTTACACCAGTGGAGGGTGTCCTCTATCCTTGAACTCACCATCTTCTCGAAGTTTATGAGATTTTCCACTAGTGTGTGGTTTCCTTCGTGGATGAAGGTCATGTCTGCAAAGGGATGACTTTGCTCATAGGTCCCCAAATTCCTTCCCCTCCTGTAGCCCCAAAAACAGAGAGCCTGTGGCCTGACCCACCCCACCATGCCCCTGCCTCCAGCGACCCCCCCCCACCTCCAGCTTTCCCGGTATCTCTTAGACCCATGATCATAGCCTCCCATGGTATCCCTACTGCTGTGGTGTGCCAACTCTTCTAGCCTATGAACTCTGAATTTAGCTCTGTGCTCCTAGGACATAGTACTTGAGGCATAAGCATCAGAAAGGGTTGGGTGACCGTCCAGTGGGACAAGAGGAAAGCATGGCTCTCTTACCTTTGAGAAGAAGGGGCATGAAGGGGATCACAGGAGGGGACAGCTTGGCAAGGGCCAGTCGATATACTCGGTGGTTCCATGAGGGGTCCTGAGAAAGAAGAAGTCATCACACTCCACGATAGACCCCCCCCATAGCCCAACAGCCCATCCTACTAGAGGGGCCAGACTCCCATCCAGGGTCACAGCCAGAGGCTCTGAGCCCAGTCTTTCCTCAGCTTCAAATGACACTGAAGCAGCCTCCATGATAGGCTGGAGATGGCTGGAGGCCACTGTTACTGCAAGTCTGTGTGCAGGGACCCGCCAGAGTCCCCCAGGAAAGCTTCATGAAGATTAGTCACAGGGGCCCTGAGGTGTCTGGGAAAACTCTCTGCCTCTCTTTCTCTGTCTCTGGTGAGTAAATTCCTCTGAACCTCTCAAGACCCACGAGGTGAACTATTTTCTCAAGAGCTCTCAGGACTGTGCTGTTAACAGTACCTGGGTTCCATTCTCTCCTGAACACTTCAAAACCCTCAAGCATTGCTAGAGATGGAGGGTTCGGCTCACCAACTTGCTCCTCATCTTTTGCCTTAGTCTGGCTCACAAGCTTCTCGAGGATTCTAGAAAGGCCACTGAGCAGCCATGTCACGCTGTGGGTGCTCGCACCAGGCCAACTTCCAGAGTCCTCATGCAGGTTGTCCAGAATCTAGTGCCCCTCTGAACCTCCCTGGCACCTCAGACCCAGGATTCCCCATATACTCTGTCCTGGTATCCACAGGGGGTTACAGCACGCCCCCATCCCTGTCAGCACCTCAATCTCACAGGCCAGAGGGAACGAAGCCCTGGGTTGGCATTGGGAACCCTGAAAGCGACAGAGGACAGGCAGAGGGGCTTCTGGGAAGCCAAGAGTTGGGTTTGTAGAGGGAGGAGCAGAGCCCAGCACTCACCAGCAGCCTCTCAAGGGCTGAGTACAGCTTCCGGACTTTGTGGGGTAGCCGCTGTGAAGGAAAGGCAGGTGAGCTGCCACAGCAGGGATGGGAGCCCCTCCAGCCATCCCCCAGGAGGGTATGAGGCCTGACCTCAAGACTGGGTCCTCCATGGCACCTACCTCCCAGGTATGGGCCAGGCGACTGATGGCCGAGTTGCTGAGGCCAAACATAATGGCAAAGAAGGAGTTGAGATTCTTCTGCTCCTTGAGGCTGTGAGCAAAAGATCCAGGGGCCTTCAGAGGAAGTGGCCATACCCAGAACACCCCCAGAGAGCTGCCAGGCCTGGGCTTAGGACAGGCAGGCCAGTGCTACCTCTGTAGGGTAGACTAGGGAGTTTGAGACTCCTGGGGAACCAAGAACAAAGGGGAGGGCAGATTTGGCCATACAATGGGCCAGGGAGACAGATTTGAGACAGGGTACTGCAGCCACACTCCCTGCCATCCCAAGAGGAACTCACTGGGCTGCCAGCTTGATGAACTTCCGAAGCAGCTGGGCCCGTGGGCCAGGCACGGGGCACAGACAGAGCTCCGTGGCCACCCAGTACTGCAGCTCATTGAAACGGCGCATGAAGCGCTCCAGGTTGGCGGTGGTGACATCTCGCAGGTGCTGTGGGCCCAGCACATAGTGAATCAGCTCCACCTGGATGGGCCAGAGAACAGGTCAGTGTACTTCAGGCCCAGCGTTCAGTCCCTGCTGCCTGCTGTCCTCCCTACTGCTCTGTCCTCTGTACCTGGTGGATACTGTTGAAGAGGTTCCAGTCATGGTCTGTCAGCTGGCCTGCCAGGTCCTTGGCACTCACCAGGTCCAGCACCTCAGCAGAGCCCACCGTGGGTCCCAGCTGCTCCGGGTGTGGGGTCTGCAGGTGAGAGAGTGCTCAGAGGGGAGCCTGAGGAATCCAGGGGAAAGGGGTAGGATAGGGAGAGTAGGCTTGGGACAGACTGTACCACGGTAGGAGGGGTGGGGAGGGGGAGGCAGGGGGACTGCAAGGACTGCAAGGCCCTAGGGGCCGTAGCAGCTGGAGGATGAGCCTTTCTACCAGCTCCCCCATACTGGGACCCCTCCTTGTGGGCTCTTTATGGGGGTGCTGTCCCATGGAGATCCCTAATAGGACAGGTCCTCACTGTCTTTGGGAGCTCCCAACCAGCACCATACCAACTCCCTCACCAAGATTCTTTAGTATCTTCCTGTCAGCTGAGATCCACTCCTTCCTCTTCCTGGGAAGACCCTGCAGCAGCCAGAGCTAGATCCCTCCCTCTGCTCCCCTCCAACAGAACCCACTCCTGCAGCCCAGAGCTCCTCCCTAGGCTCTGGCACTCTGCCTTCTCCCTACCAGCTCATGCACTTCCTGTGGGTTGACAACAAAGAGCCGCTCGTTGAGACCCAGGGATGTGACCACACCACGGGCATCTGGCTTCAGGCCAATGGCATCTGCAAAGACAGCAGAAGCTGTGCTGGGTGGGGTCAGAGAGGGAAGCCAGGAGCCAGCTGGAGGCCAGGGCAGAAGCTCTGTTTTGGGGACTCCTTCTTCCTATAATGTACACAGGTACACGTGCCCACACCTCCACACTGCCCAGGGCAGCACCTGAGGAGAATGAAAGGGATCCTTAAGGGAAATAGGCTGACCTTGGACGAGGTTTCAACTTCCCTGAGCCTCAGTTTCCTCCTTTGTAAAATGGACATACAGGACTTGTCCTGACTATTTCATAAGCCAAATGAGCTCACTTATGTTAAATACGGCTATGTGTATATGATGCACATAAAAGCCTTTCAAATACTGGCAAATGTCTCAGTGTTGATTTTTATCAGCTCCTTGTGGACTGGGCTTCCATTTGAGTCTCCAGTCCCTGACCAGTGGCCTTCAAAATAAGGTATATAAAACCATCCATGTTTCCAGAAAAAAAATTAGCTCTTCTACTTATATTTATTGTTTTCATCTGTTTCAAATTTCTATTTTATGTATAACTTTATAATTATATAATATTGGTGGGTAATAGAGATAATTGGTAAGCAATTATATACTTAGTGGATATCTATAATAAAGCATTGGTTACTGACATGGGTGTCAACTGTGGTTTAGAATTCAGTGGTCTAAAAGATGCCTGATATGGCTGGGTGACAGTGGCTTACAACTATAATCCTAGCTACTTGGGAGGCTGAAATGGGGAGGATCAAGGTTGAAGGCCAGCCCAGTCAAATAGTTCAGGAGACTCCCTCCGTCTTCAAAACAACAAGAACAAAATGGACTGGAGGCATGGGTCAAGTGGTAGAGCACCTGCTTTGTAAGCATGAAGCCCTGAGTTCAAACCCCAGTCACACACACACACAAAATAAAAAAATGCCTGGTGCATAGTAAGGTCTCAATAAACATGGACCTTGGGCAACAGCAACTCACTGGGTGGCCACCAGAGGGCAGTGCTTCCCAGAGCTGACACACAGGTGACCTCATTGGTCTTTGCTCACTTCCTGAAGGGAGAAGGCTTTTTCTCATCTGCACCCCTTGCCTTTATTCCCTAACTGCCCCCAATTCCTGACTACTCTGGGCTTCAGCTGTCAAGCCTGGGCTGCACCTTTCACAAGGAATAATGGTTTTTAATGTCTGTCATCCTCTGAAGGCATGTCTTGATAATAAGCCTCAGGCAACCATATTCTAGGCACTGATTGTGACAGGCCCCTGCTGTGTGTTTTACACACATCATCCCTAGCCTAATAACTACAGTAGTCCCTCGTGTCAGGTACAATGATAGTGCTCATTGGACAAAGAAATGAAGGATCAGAGAGGTTATGTAACTTGCCCAGGCTTACACAGCAGCTAAGTGGCAGGGCTGGGATCCCTGACTGCCCCTCTTTACTCTGTATCAGCTGTGTGCCTCTCCTCCCTCTGTGACAACTATTTCAGCTGCCCTGTCAACCCAAAAGCCTGCAGTGAGCAAGTAGCAGGCAGCTGTGGTACCTCCAGCAACTAACAAACTATTGCTAAATAGCTGACCACCCAAAAAAATGTTTGTTGAATGACTAAATGAGTGAGTCAAAAGGCCAGCTACATTCTCACTGCATGAGTGTGGGGAAACCACTATTCTGCTTGAGCTCTGGTTTCCCTGTCTGGATATAAGATAAAATTCCTTCTCATAAGACTGTTATTAGGATTAAATGAATACCTAAGAATGGCAATAACAGAACTAGGGCTTATGTAGAGTTGACTATATGCCAGACATCATTCTAAATACTTTTATAGATTATCTCATTTAATCCTCACAATTTCTCCAGGGAACAAGGACTCTCATTATTCCATTTTACAGATGATAAAATTGAGCACAGAGATTAACGAAGTGCCTGGCCCCGGGATACACAGCTGGTGAGCTAAAAGGGCTAGAATCAAAGGCAGGCAGCAGGTTCCAGAGTTCAGGCTCCTGAGCGCTCCATGTAAAACAATCTGAATAAATGTGGCAAACCTCCCACAAGATATCCTTGCTGACACTGATGAAGGTGATAGGTGATAATGACCCCAGTTTGGGAATCTGCACATGGATCTGAGTGTACCCTCCCTGAGGGTCCATCCAGAAACACAACTCACCACCTGCAGAATTGACCTTCACCAGCACCTGGCCCTTGATCCAGCCATCCTCCCTGGCTAAGGCTGCCATCACCTCTCTCACTGAGGCTGTCACAGGCAGCTGGAGGGTCAGCACTGAGTGGTCTGGTCGGCAGATGTCATAGGGGACTGCAGAGGTGACAGGGGTTGAGCTGTAGGAAGAGCTGCTGGTCTTCCCACACCCGGAGGGACAGGGATGCAGCATGGAGGACCCCAGAGGTGGGGAAAGGTGGTTGTGAGGAACATGGCAGTGTCAGGGCAGGTGGGAGGCCCTGAGCCTAGATGAGGAATGCAGGAGGCAGAACTTCCTGGTGGCCCAGAGACCCCAGGGAGGACAGTGTGCCCCACTCAGCCGGGCACCCTGAGGTCAAGGTGACCACAGCAGGGCAAGGGAGGCAGAGACTTCAAGATGCCAATGCCAGACTGTGCCCAGCTGGCTCTGATCACTCACCTTTGTCCCCAACTCGGATGGCACTGTTGCTGCTGGAAAGGGGATCGTCCTGGCTGGGAAACCAAGCAGGCACATTCCGGGCCTGGTAGGGAGAGAGAGAAAGCTCTAGGACCCCAGGGAGAGCATGCAGAGAGGGGACAGGAGGGCCTGCCACCGGAGTGGGGGCTGGCACAGCACCACACTACCAGAGGGCTCTGCTGGCCGCGTCAACCTAAGTCAGGTAAGGCACTGGGGTCCAGGCTCCAGAGAAGAGACAGGACAGGTCTAGGGAATGGGCCTTTTTTATATGTGTTCTTCCCGCTCTACCAAGTAGGTCTAGGGCTATTCGAAGATGAAGACACCTCACGTGGACCCATTTTCTCCTCCTTTCCCTCTGGTAGCTATCGTTTGCTATGCCGCAGACATTGTTCTAAGTATCTAAATATTCACCATAGCCCTTCAGGGAAAGTATTATTCTTGCCACTTAGTGGACTGAGCTAAATGAGGCTCAGAAAGGTTAAGTAATTTACCCAGGATTACACAGCTGCTAAGTGGCAGGGTTGAGATCCCAGCCTGCCCCCTCCCTCTGTGCTCCTGTCTACCAACACAACTGTGTCAATCCCACAGCTAATACACAATGAGCCATATCACAGACCCTCCATGGATGGGCTGGCCTAATAAGTCCTGTGACTCTTTCCTGAATGCTCTTCCCAGCTCTGGCCCTGACCTTCTCCCTCCAGCTCTGAATGTGTGTTGGCAGAACCCCAAGTCCAGCCTTCACTCTCTCAGGCTCCGCACATCCTCAGAGACCCACAGCCTCACATATACCACCTGCATATGGAGGCACTCAAATGCTACCACTGCTGGTGCATGGTAGTACATGTCTGTAATCCCAGCACTTGGGAGGCTAAGGCAGGAGGATCCAGAAATGGGGGCCAGCCTGGGCTACACAGCAAGACCGTGTCTCAAACAAACATAAAAACAAAATATCCCTACCACTGATGCTAGACTTTCCCTGGCCCTGGCCTCGAATGCCTGCTGGACCTTCCCCTATGGTTCATCACCCCAAACTTCACGTACCCTTGGGATCCCTCAATCCTACCTCCCAGACCACTCCTTCCTCCACCACTCTCCTGAGCCCAGGCTCCTCCTAGAGCTTGTCACATTGTTCTGGGGGTTCTTCTTTGAAGCAGATCCCAGGTGTCCCTCTTCCCCTGCTCAGGACCCTCACTCCTCAGTTACTGCAATGGCCTGGCCTTTCCCCCTACCCTTCCACTCAGGAGTGACCACCCCTCCTCTTCCTATCTGCCTGAGCCTAGCCAGATTAACTCAGGACTCAAGGCCACTATTGTATGTGGGATAAAGCCGAGCTCTAGTTGACCTATTCAAAAATCAGATACTGTCAATCCTCAGCTCAAACCCCTCAGTGGTTTGCATTTATCTTAGGACAAAGACCAAACCCCCTTCCGCCTTCTGCTCTGGCTCCTGCCTGCCTCCCTGGCCTCCTCCATGGTCCCCTCTTGTCCTCCCTTCTCTGGGGCTGCCTTTGGGGTCCTCTTTGTCCTTGATCCTCAGCCTCTGCAGCCCTCAGCTCTGGAGCTAGGCTACCTAAACCCACATGCAGAATCAGTGCCTTCCCCCTTCTGTTTTCAGAGCCCTCTGGTCAGTTGCGGGCTCTGTCTCCCACCTAATCAGAAGCCCACAGGCCAGGGGTGGCCTTCCCAGCTGCAAGCCACATGGTGGGCAGCTAGCCCAGTGCCTGGCCTGTGAGGATTTGACATTGGTTTCTGAGTGTTGGGCAGTGTATTAGGCAGCATGTGAGCTCAGGGGAAATACAAGTGGAGATGGTTCATATGCAAAGTGATAGATATTAACAGATAACACCCAAGTCGATAAACGAGTCAATCTACCAGGTGAGCAGACTTTAAAGCAAATCATGCTATTTGAGAAGTTGAAATCAGGACTGCGATTCAGCCTGGGCAAAAAGCGAGCGCCCATCGCAACCAGTATCTGGGCGTGCTGGTGTGTGCCTACCACCCTAGCTGTGGCAGGATGCATAAAATAAGCTGGCCTGGACAAAAAGTAAGATACTATCTCCAAAACATTACAGTAAAAAGGGCTTAAGCAGTAAGAGTGCCTGTCTAGCAAGTGCAAAACCTCACGTTCAAATCCCAGTACCACAAAAAACAAAGAAAAGAAAATCATGGAAGACACTTGGGGGAGGAGCAGAAGGGAAGGAGTGTGCTCTGGGAGCTCAACATTTTGAGTTTGAGAAGGATTGAGTCAGACAAAGAGTCAGGAAAAGAAATGTCCATGCAGAGGGGTAAGTTCAAGGCCCAGAAGTGAGGCCAAGCTTCATCTATAGAAGAGAAGGAGCCAGTGGGAGCCTTCAGCAAGCAGGAGGGTGAGAGGGGACGAGGTGGTGACACCACTGGATTTTATTCTCAATGGGATGCTCCCCACAACCAACCCAACCGACCTTTCTTTCTAGTCCTTTCTCTTTCCCACTATTCCTCAACCACATCTCAGCTCCAGTCACATCATCTACTCCCCCCTGTAATCCCTCCAGCCCCAGCTGGGAATGGCATTGGCCACCTGGACTTCCCAGACAGGGGCCTCACCTTCCTCTGGGCTCCTATAGCACTGGCCACCAGGAACCCTTGGGACTCAGGAATGAACCCAGCCACCATGCCTCATTACCCAACTCTACCTGTGGGTGTGTATTACCTCCCAAAGAAAAAAAAAGCCCTTGGGTGGGGAAGAAGGAGCAGCTTTTTTTTGTTGTTGTTGTTATCACAGTGGTTCTACCACAGGGCCAGACCTGAGTGCCACACACAACACAGGCCTCAGAAATGTCTATCACAGGCCCAAGGGTGTGTCTGTAGGTGGAAAACCTTCCTGCACGTGGTCCCTCCAGGCAGGGGCTGGATGGGCAGAGGGAAGAGGCCAGGGCCCAGCAGGGGTAGGACACAGAGCAGGGCAGTCACACCTTGATCTGAGGAGATGCGTTCCCACAGCCATTTTCCAACCTGCAAGTGAAAGGGAACATGGATGAGAAGCCTGCAGGCAGGACCCTACTCGCAGGGTCGGCAACAGGCAGGCCAGGGCAAGGTACCATCCCACCCTCCCTGGTAGCTCAGAGGGAAGCAGGATTTAGTGAGTAGCAACATGGAGAGGGCAAGGTGGACTCGAGGTGGGGACTCAGGTTCTGTGATTTCTGGAGACCAGCAGGGGAGGGGAAAGCTTAAGAGAGACAGGACCCAGGGTTCTGGATGAGCTCTTGCCCCTGAACCCCAACTGTTCCCACAGGATGTCTGGAAAGGCAAGGCAAACTCTGGGGAATTTACAAATGCAGGCACTGAAGTTAGTGGGTGATAACTGGGTGCCTAATGGAGCAAGCAAGCAGGCCAGGTGCATTCAGGATACAGAAAGAGTAAATGAATGGTGCGTGCTACGTGAGCAGCCAGAGGACTAATAGGCACAACTAATTGAAATAAGCAGTGCTGTCTGGATGTCTAAGGCAGGGCGCTCACCTAAAGTGCATGTACAGCCCCCACTGCACTGTGGGCATAACTAGGACAAATTAACTTCAGTCAAAGCGTCACCTGTGTAGTCGCCGCCTCTCTGGCCACTGCTCCCTCAGCAGGTTGCTAAGTCGGGCATCCTTGCTCACCAGGTCTGACAGTTTCTGTGAAGAGTAGAGATTCCCTAAGACAGCTGTAGCCACATCTGCCCTGAGCAGTCCAGGCAGCCCTGTCTCACTCCTAGGTACCTGGAGGAAGCTGGTGGCCACCGGGTCGGTGTGGAGCATGGGGCCATACAGGGCCACCCACTGGCTAACCAGCCGCAGGATCTGCTGCCTCCTGTTGCAGATGTATGTGCTGCGCTCCTGCTCACTGCCTCCAGTGGGCTCCGCTGGCTCCGCATGGAAGGTGGGCACCAGTCAAGGGAACTATGGCAAGCAACTGGGGTCACCCACCCACCACACCTAAGCAGAAGAGGGACAGGATAGCCAGGGCATACTGACCAGCTGGGGCTAGCACCAGGGAGGGTACACCATAGCCACAATGACAGGGATGCCTTCTCTCAACTCCACATCCCATCCCCCCCATATCCTTATGTCATCCAGGGGCTGGAAGGATATTGGTGCAGGAGGGCAGCACAGAGCTGGGCACTGGGCATGAAGACACTGTGGGTCAGGAGGAAGTCACTGAGGAAGGTCTCTGTTGGGCAAGGTGGGAAACAGGAGGGAGTTTCAGAGGCCAAGTCTATTAAGCACAGGTATATGCACACTTGGAACATCCCCTCTCCGAGGTATCAGCAATATCCAGCCCCTGTGGCAGCACTTCCCACTCAAACCAAGGGCACAGGTAAGGAGACTTCCTGCAGACTGACTGTATGGACCAATCCAGCACCAGATGAGGTCAGAATTAGTGTGCCTGGCTTCTCCCAGGCTGCAATGACCACCCAATGAGTCAGAGAACAGGCAGGATGTCTCCTGCCCCTACCTGTTGGGTCATGGGCACTGGAATCCGGCCGCATGGCCTCCAACAGAAGTTCTAGGATCTTCTCTGGGGTACCAGACATCACTGTATACCTAGCAGAAATGGCCAACGTATAGCACATATGTCACTCCCCCCGTAGTCTCTCTACACCTTCCACCCCTAAGTGTCATGGGAAAGGCCCAAAGGCTGGAAAGCAGAGGGGAGATGTGGGGAGAAGTGGCATGGTGGGCGCATTACCGGTTCCTGCCCGGGGCTGGCGGGTGAGATGGGCCAGTGCTCTGAGAAGTTCTCTCTAGCACCAGTACCACTTTGCCATGTTCTTCTAGTCTCATGGTCTTCGCTTCCACATCCTGGAGAACGAGACACATCGGTGCTCCACACAACCAGGACTCCTCTTTAGAACCTGTCCTTGGCTGGCAGAGTGGCTCAAGTGACATAGTGCCTGCCTAGAACCTGTCCTGCACTTCCTCCCTTCCAGACCTGAAGCACATGAGGTTCTCAAGGACCTTTGGCCCTTCTCCAGCCCCCACCCCTTACCATATACTTCCTCACCCAGGCCCCTCCACCCCTGTAGATACTGCTCTCCATGGTGCTCCCTCCCCTTGCACCCAACTCCTCACCCTCCGCACCCCCACCAGTCCCCTGGTGTTCCACGCCAGGTCCAAAGTCTTGAAGAATCCCTCAACATGCTGGGCCTTCACTTCCTCACACACACCAAAGCCCACAGCCCTCACTCCCAGCCACATATACCAACTTCTCCTTGCAGGCTCTCTCTGGTGCCTACTCTTTGCCCCATGCCACTTCTCTGGGCCTTTGTCCCCTGCTCTCCCCAACCCCACAGCAGCACCTTGATGATGCGGTTGAAGTCCTGCTTGTCCACACGTAGGAAATGACAGTTATCTTCTCGCAGGATGATAGTGGCTGCCCGGGGTGCATCATTCACTAAAGCCAGCTGTCCAAAGTCATCTCCCTCGTGTAGTGTGGTCACCAACCCCTGCAGCCAGGATTCAGTCATGGCCCACCCCACCCCCAACCCTTGCCAAGCAGACCCAGACAGGAGACATGGGGGAATCAACAGCCTTGGGACCGGCAAAGACACCATTCACAAGGACATGGACCAGGGAGCAGTTACACCCCAGAGGGTTAAGGTGGGCTGGAGGGAGGACTCACCTTCCCATGGGTCACCACATTGACAGATCCCTTCCAGATAATGTACCATGAGGTACCCTTGTCTCCCTGGCTGAACACTGACAGAAGCACAGATCAGACAAAGCCTCTCTGTCACCCACTACTCCTCCATGGCCCCTGCCCTTTCCAGGCCTCTCTGTGTCCAGTCTGACTTACACACAGTCCCTGCTTTGCTGTGTGGTTCAAACAGCAGAACAGCTGCTAATTCGCGTTTCACCTGTGGGTGGAGAGAAGGGTGAATGGCAGTAATCTCAGGTGAAGAGGGCAAGACTGGTGGAAAGGTTGGATTCAAAAATGCAAGCTCTGGGGGCAGAGATGTGGCCAGTCCAGCTGTTTCTGGGATATTGCAGAGACAAAGCATAAATAAGAAATGGCAAAGAAAGGTGGGAAGATATTCAGACTAAGGGCTGGGGGCAAAAAATTAGATCAAAAACTTCAAGCCATTGATGGAGAAGGGCCCAACATGGAGCCCCCAGCTGGGGGCAATGGAAAAGGAGGTCCTAGGTAAAGGGCAAGTATAGCCAGCAGACTGGGAGAGGCAGACTGACCGAGTTCGAGAGGTGGGCCACAGCCTTGATGTGCAGCAGCTCCTCAAAGATGAGGTCCAGCTCCTCGTCCGTGCGCTGACCTGGGCTGCAAGAACAGGAGCCACGGGAGCACGTGAACTGTGGCCCATGACCAAGTGGGACAGCCACCCCTCCCATGTACCTCGGCCCTTGAGCCAGATGGCGTCTCTGCTGCTATTGATCTTATCAATAATGGGCTGACCTTTATGGCATGAGCCCCAGGTGCCAGCCACAGTGCTAAGCACCTTTCACGCATTATTTCATTCTGCCCTCACATCAGCCCTGTGACGCCAGCACCATTATTCCTGTTTGACAGAAGAGGAAGCTGGAGTGGAAAGGCCCAAGGTCACCCAGCTAGCAGCTGGTCAGGTTGGAATTTGAACCCTGACCTGTCTGCAGACTACAAAGCCTACTCTCTCATCCCTGACTACATCGAAGAGGGGAAGGGTCCTCGGAGATCTCTGGCCCAACACCCCCACTGACAAAGGAAAAGCCAGCCTAGGGCTGGGGGCTCATGATCACACAGATCAAGGCAGAATACAGAACAGAGCTTAAGGCTTCTGATCCTGCCGGCTTCCTTCCTCCCAGAGATGAATATGAGAACCTCTAGTGTCTGTATGCCACATGGGATTGGGGGCACCCGACTCACGGCTTTCGAAGTGCCACAGTAAGCAGGGCATCAGGCCCCCGCTGGGTCAGCAGGGCCATTGCTTCAACCAACTCCTCCTCCACCTCACGAGCTCCTGTGGGCTCCAGCTCTGGCCCAGGAAAGCGATAGAATTGAGCATCTCTGTCTTGGAAGGTCCAGTCATGTTTCACTGGGGGGCCAAGGCCCAGGCGTGGGGGTGAAGAGGAAATTGAGGTCATGTAAGTACAAGACCCCCACTGTGAGGCCAATGTCCTGCACATCCCCCACTGGTGCCTGCTCATCCCATCCCCACCCAGCTCTGCTGTCCCACCTGAGCTCAGGCTCACCATGGCAGAGGGCACCTTCATCCAGTAGCACCTGGCAGATGCCCACAGCTTGGCTCCGAGAATGGACCCCAAGCCCAAGGGCCAAGATCCCATCCACAAGCTCCCGGCCAGAGCAGCACTGCCTGGGAGGAAAAGGAACTCGACAATCAGAAAGGCAATGTCAGATCCAAGCCCAGTTCTTCTACCAAAAGCATGGATAGGTCCAGGTGCCTGGAACAGGGTGGGAAAGAAAAAAAAATGATAGGGGCAGGTAGGGTCCCTCACTCACCTGTAGAGCCGAAGATGGTACTTTCGGTCACGGATGAGGGTTGGGCAGGTAACCAGGAGATGTCGCTGCAGGTGCTTCCCAGCCCTGAGTACCCGTTCTGTGGAGGCCTTGGAAGGAGGGAAAGTATGGCTGGCTCAGGCCCTGAACCCCTCAATCTGCTGTCCCCTATCAACCTCAACCCTCCCTAGTTTGTACCTGTTCCAGGCTCACACTGAAATCCAGGGACTCTTCACTGCTGGTAAGTGGAGTCTGAGGACAGTAGGGATAGTTTGCAGATCAGTGCAAGGCCTTCAAACATAGCTCTGAAACCCTTCCCACACCACTCACTCCCATTTTTGTCCAGTCTCTGGTCCCAAATGCATCCATGTAGCCACTCGTGAAACTCATGAAACAGATGAACAGTCACTATGTACCAGGATCACCTTTTCCCTACTCCAACATCTCCATCAGCAGACCCTTTACTTCCTTCCACACCCTAACACTGTATTCCTACAGGTGAGAGCCAGAAGATACCCATTCTGCTTTCCCAGGGCCCAGGTGTGACCAGGCTGCCAGGTAAACAATCTCCATGGAGCGGAAAGAGTGACAGAACTGGAAGGAACATAAGGATGAGAGATATGAAGACCCCCCAGAAGCCAGAACGTGAGCAGCTCCGTAGGCCTGGAAAACCTGCCCTAGGCTGAGGCTTCTGGCCTGGCCCCAAACCCAGATTCTGTGTGCAATCACAGGACCATGGGCAGATCTTGTGTCTACCGTAGACCTCTGTTCAGCCTAGTAGTTCAAAACAGAAACCCTAAAGCTAGGATCCTAGATTCAAATCCTTGCTCCTCCATCTTCTGGTGGTGTGACCCTGAACAAGTGATTTACTCTCTGCCTCAGTTTCTTTATATGTAAAATCTATAGAGCATGAACAATGCCAACTCATAAGCTTTCAGAAGGGCTGCCTGGCATCTAACTGCGTATACACGTCAGCTATTATTGTTCATGCGTGAAGCACTGACTAGGTGGGGCTGCTTGCTGGAAGGCTTCTTTCTTCTTTGATATGCTGTGAGTCCATAACCCTGTAAGAGTGAGTAAAGCCTCGGCAGCTCACAGGACAGGCTTGGGAAGACAGAGTTTATCAGCAATATTGGTTAATGAGGCTTCCCTGTTTTGGGTGTCTATCAAGCCTCCAGGGACTCCAGGGCCTGTGTGACCTGGAATGTCAGACGTAAAAGCTCCCACAATCCTTTTTCTGAGAATGGAGTTAGTTTCTAGACAGCTCTGGAGGATGGCCTGCCCTCTACAAGTCCTCCCGAAGGTAGAGTATTTTATAGTTTATAAAACATAAAGTTTACAAAACACCTCCTTGGTTAAAAAAAACAGAAGAAGTAAAATCGGGTCAGGTATGAAATAGAGCAGGAATCCTCTGTTCTCTGTGACTTATGGGAGACAAAATCCTTAAGCATGCTGTGTAATTCAGCCCACAACGGATGAACTCCAGTTCCTACCCAAAAGCGTGCACACTCTCAGTCTCACTGCACCCACTTCACTTCCTTGTTTCCTCTTCCTCTCCTTCCTCTCTCCAGCAGCGCCTCTCCTGATTTCCCACCTGTACTCAAGGCCTTGGTCTGAGTCCCCTGCCTTGGGGTTGGCACGTCCCTGGGTGCAAGCATCTTGCCACTGTGCCCAGACAGAGACCTGAGGTCTGGCGTGCATGCGCACCTAGCCCAGGGCTGGACGGAAATCACTAGGTGTCCCAAGGGTATCCCTGCCCGGGTCATGGGGCCCAACTCAGTGCCAAACGTGGAGCCCTGGAGACTTAAGGACAGGAAATGAGGAGGAGGAGGAGCCAGGAAGGGAGGAAGGGCAGGAATGCTACCCAGCCAGCCCCCTGTGTTGGAACAAACAGTGCCTGAGTGCTAATGACTTCTTGTTGTTCATGTCAAAATGCCCAGGTCACCCCAGTCCCTGCCCCAGCTCCCTCTGGTGCCCACAACCCAGGCTTTAGCACCAGCTCCCTTCCTGGTATTATTCTGACCTGGGAAGCCATATTAGAAGGGGAGGTACCAGGTCAGGTGGCCAGGCTGGTCATTTCCTGTCCTACCTCAGAGCATGGGCATAAGAATCAGAGAATGGTGGCCTAAGAATGGGACATTAGGTGTCTTCTCATTTTACCAAGGAAAGCAGAAGCCCCGAGAGCTGAAGTAAGTGATCAGAGTCTCACCATTCTCAATGACTCTGCTCCCAGTGCTGGCCCTGGGGTAGGTATTTGTATCTGATTTCACAGCTAGAGACAGAGGCTCGGAGTTTACACAACTGCTCTGACAGTTGGTAAACAGGATTCACACACGTGCCAGTCTGCCTTCAAAGCCCACGCTCTTGGCACTAGCCTCCACCATTGCCTGTGGTGTCTATCCTGTACTTCCCCCAACTGTGTGTCATGGGCATAGTGACAGCAGAGGTATTTTTACCCTTAGTCATGGTCCACGGGCAGGTTTGGAACCACTGGGTTAAACAAAGTTAGAAAGGCTATTATCACAGCCTCTCTGTGCCCCTGGAATGTTGCTGCACATGGGGAAAGGCTGGGAGGGGCTATTCCTTAGCAGCAGTGGTCCAGTATGTGGGCTCCAAAGCCAGACGCCTGGGTTCAAATGCTAGCTCTCAGATGGCCACCTGGTTGTTAACCTTGCACTGGTGATTTAAGGTCTCGGTGTTCAGTTTCCTCATCTGTAAAAAGGGGTGCCAATGATAACAGTACCTATCCCACAGGGTTGTTGTAGAATCAAATGAGTTAATAATATAAAACACATGGATCAGTGTTGGGCTCATAGTAAATGCTTCTTAAATGTTAAGTACAGTCACTCAATCAAACTTTACTACTCCATGATGGGCACTTACTACCCCCACACAGTGCAAAAACGCTGTACCACGCTAGTCTTAAACCTGATCTGATAACCCTGAGCATCAGTCTGGGAATCCTACAGTTGGAAAGAAGTATTGGCCAAGATGTGTCAGTCCTGGACAGGAAGGAATTGGGTAGAAAAGGAGGTGCTAGGTCCCCTGGCACCAGGACAGTGACCTGCCCCATCCTCCCTCTCTGTCACTGAGTGTCACAGTCGGGTTGGAGGGACAAGCATGGAGCCAGACAGTGTGGAGACCCGTCAGACCAGTTCCCTTGGTCATGGCTAAGGTCCGAGGCCAGGGCATGCATGGCAGATGGGGAAGGATGTGTGGGTGGGCATGCCATGGAGGTCAAACCCATGGCCGCTGGGGAGCGAAGCCTAGCTCTACCACCAGCTTTTGCAACCCAGTCCCATCGCTTACCCTTGCTGTGCCTCCATTTTCACATCTATAAAATGGGGACCTATGCCTGGGGCTGTTGTGAGCATTATTTGATATGATAAAGGTGAAGCTCTCACAGTCGTGTGCGGGACATATGCACTATGTAACTTTTAGTTACTACCATTATTTAGACAGGTTGGATGAAAGCATGTCTTCATGTCTTCTTTATGGGCCACCTCCCCCCAGTCACTTAAAGAGAAGCATTTCAGACTTCTCTGAAAGCCTGTGAAACCCACAGGCACCCTGATCTTTCTTCTGCCCCCAGACATCAGACAAGATCCCATCTCTCCTCACATTTTCCAAAGATGTTCTAGTCATTCCAGTGCCACCTTGGCCATAGTTGGTAAGTCCTTTCTACATCTAACCTCAAACCCTCCTGCTGTAACCTGGTCTAGGTAGGAACAGAAAGAGATCACTTCAGACTTGAGAGTCTGGGAGGTTGATGGGTTTTCCCCTGAGCTTTCTCAGAGGGAGGCGTGGCCTGAAAAACCCAGCCCTGACCTCCTGGGCTCCAGTCTCACCTCCTTCAACCTGTATTTGCATATGTCCCGCCTAGGAGCCTTTCATGGATTAAAGGTATCAAGAGGTGCAGCCTCATAGGCACCCAAAGCCACTTAAACACGAGGACAATGGGCTATAACCACCACCCCCCATTCCCAAGGATGAACATCAGGAGCAGGTGGGGTTGTCTGCCTCTATCCCTAAAAATCTAAGCTCCTTCTAGTCACCAGCCCCCACTTCTCTCAACACCTGGCAGGGAAGGGACCTTGTGTCTTTGACCCCATTTATACTCCAGCAACCCTTATGCCCACCCTTCCGGCCTCCCATACAGACCCTTCAATTCTGGAGGCTGGGGAATCAGGAGATAGTCTGGAAGCCTCCTCCACTCCCTTTCCAGACTTTGGGTCCCAGGAGATTTTCCAGTGGCCTCACTGTCCTGGTACCTGACCTTCCCCCTCCCATCCCCTACCTTGCTTCTCCAAGATGGAAAGGGGACAGGAAATGCACATGTAATTATAGCCTGAGAGGGAAGGAGGAGGGAGAGTTCCAGCCCACTGGCTCCTAGCAGCAGCTACTACAGTGACCCAGAGAGGAGGGAGGTAATGGAAAAAGGACCAGACCCTAGCGGCCTTTATCAGGAAGACCCAGGGAGAGAGAAGTTTTGGAGGGCTGGGCAGGACACTTGGACTCCTCTCTAGATTTTGACTGGAAAGAGGTCCTCCTCCTCTCAAAAGTCTTCATTTTCTTCTTCTTGTTGGGCAAGGTAAGAGAGGAGTGAGAAGGTGGTGCTTGTCCTACTCAAAGTAACTTGCCAGATGAGCAATGAACTCTCCCAAGTTTGTCAGCTGCTCCCACAACCTCATACCTTCTGCCCTCAACATATATATAGGTGGGCACACACACACAACTACTGAATCTCAGGTGAAGAGACTCTAAGGTGATTGGGGAGAAAGAAGCTCCCTGCTGACTGGTCCCTACAGCCATTCTTCTGCCCTCTTCCACTCCTAATGCCCACTCTCTCCTTCATTCTTCAACTCCAGAGATGTTTTTCATTGTCAAAAAGAGCTTTAGTCATCCTCCACTCTCCAAGCTTCTCAGAGTTCCCCGAAGCCAGATGACAAGCAGTGTCCATGAGAACACCTCACCCCAAGATCAAAAAGCAGGATCAGGCCTGTTCAATTGTTCACTAAGGGAGAGTGTTGCCACGGTGATGTGTCAAGAACAGTAACCAAACTTACTTCACCCTTCATTGGACCTGGCCCCCATTCTCTTACCCCTACCAGAGAGAGCACACAAGCACCTAACTCAATGCCTGGCACACAGAGGTGATGGATAAATAACAAAACCCTTTCATCTCCCCCTCAGTGCCCGAATGGGAGCACCACACACACAGACACACAACTGCAGCTGTGTGAGCCACCCACGCACACCACCGCCAAGCTTCTCCACCCTTTACCCACTCCAGCTATATTCCCTCTGCAACACCAGATAGCCCACCAGCACTACAATCCAGGACCCCTCCAGCCTCATGGCTGGTATGGCAAGAGGAGGACACTCACCCAGCGAAGACCCTGGATGCAGCTGGGGCGCCGGTGCTGGAGCAACAGCTGGTAGGAGCAGCTCCGGGACCGATGCATCCTCCTCAGCACCATGTCTAGCAGTGTCCCCTCCGGCACCACTTCAGGGAGGCTACCCACCTGTGGTGGACTCTCTTCCACAGCCGGGCCCACTTGCCAGCGGCTCTCACCTGGCCAACCCACCTGTGATGTTAGGAGGAAGGTGGACAGCCATGAACAGGGGTTGGGGCAGCACGGCAGCTGGACGGAGGCACAACTGCCCCAGGCAGATCCACTTCCTTAGAGTCCTCTGGACTGGTCAGGCGGAGGTTCTGCAACCCTGCCAGTAGCCGGGGGAAGGGACAGGAAGAACTTCACTGCATTTAGGGGTCTCCAGCTGGCTGGCAGAGAAGATCAGGCCCTTCTCAGTTCTCTCTGGAATTCTGCCTCACCTCATTGACCATGTCCCTGCAAGGATCTCCAGCCCTCCCAACATGAGGCTAGGGACTCACTATACCCCGCAGAAATGCAGCTTTGGCCCAAACTCTCCTCCCCACCTCCCTCTCTCTCAACCACCCTCTCCCACCCAAACTCCCCACTGTGTCGACTTCCTCTCCCGCCCTCTCCTGCTCCTCCCTGACCCTGACCCCACCTTACCCACCTTCATGTTTCTACTGAAGCTCGCACAGCCCTGCAGGTTCCAGCAAAAGGCTGGAGGATCCCGAGCGAGCCCTGGGCAGCTCCACAGGGGGATCTTGGAGGGGAGCCTCGTATGTCCTTGGGGCTGTGAATACCGGGCCAACTGGCTGCCAGGCAGCTAGATGCAGGCCTGAGTAGAGAGGCTTGTCTTGGGTGTGTACAGGGCTGGGGGCGTGGGGGACGCCCCCCGCCCTCCCAAACACCGACTATGGAGCCCAGTGCCTCCGCCTTGGTCCCAGACGAAAGAGCCAGCTGGCACCGGGCGCTGAAGCGAAGCTGCAATTGGCACTGGTCCGGGCGGGAGCTGTCACACCCCCTGCACTGCCCGCCCCCTTCCCCTCCCCGGGACCCGCCGAGGGGGCGGGGAGGACGCGCGGAGCCTTACTGTAGGCAAGGACATGGGGGAAGGAGGCGGGCACCGGCAAGGGGTGGAGTCGGGACCCGGGGGTACGTCTAGTGGGCACAAGCCAGAGCCCCGAGAAACCTCAGGGGGTAGGAGCTCCCCCGGGGTGTGTACAGGGGCCGTAGCAGCTGGGGTGTCGTGGTAGGGCCAGTAAGTGGCTCCAGTGGCCGCCACGTGGCCGGGAGGAGAAATGCAAACAAGGAAACCAGGGACGGGGGGAGAAGGGGTGAGTCATTGCTGCCCCACCCGGGAGGGAAATCCGGGCTGGGGCCGCTTCCCGGCCGGAGGCGTGCTGTCTCCTGTTTTGGTCCAGGGTCTCCAGCAGCCCGAGGGAGGGACTGGGCAGCTTTTCCTTGGGGAATCCCGCTGCCGAGCTTCCCACCATTGCGTTCCCAGACGCACACACCCGACATGGGTGGAGAAATTGAGGCTGGAGAGGAGGGACCGCGTTCCAGATGGATGGATGGATGGATGGATGGATGGTCTGGCGGGTGGATGGGTGGATGGGTAGGTGAGCAGGTAGATGGATGGTGAGAACTAGAATGTGGTCCTAGGAGGAGGTTGGATTTGTGGCAGGGCTTCGCCCACAAAAAGGTTTTAGAGTGCCACGCCTGCCACCGCGCGCTCCCTTGCTGGCCGGGTAGGTGGAGGCAGAGGCTTGGATTCCAGTGTCCTGCTCTGTCCGAGGCCCACACCTCCGTGGGCCTCAGTTTCCACCACCGCACAGGTGACCCTGCGTAGCCCTCTTTATCCCACTCCTGCTTCCGAGAGGGCAGACTTTGACCCTGGGACAGCGACTTCCATGGCGCCCCATAATTGCGCAGGATGATAATGAGGGTTTAGAAGAGGAAGGTGCACGGTCCGCCTCCAGCGTTCTAGGACTCCTCCTTCTTTGCCCCTTCTCTTCCCCATTGCAATTTAGCCTGCTGGGACTGGGAAGAAATATGGCTAGCAGGCAGATCCCTTCTGTTTCAGAACATCCAGCCACCCTCACCCCACCGCATCCTAACCCCCCTACCCCCGTCCTCTACCAGTGATCATTTTCTTGAAGAAGGAGAATTTTGTCATTAAAATCCTAATTTTAATGTGTATGTGTCTAAATTTTTTCTCTCAGGAGCTTATTAAAATGCACACTCCAATTCTCCCAATTCAGATTCAGTCTTACTGGCGTAAAATGAAAAAAATCTGTACTTTGAACACACATTCCAGGTCATTTGCTGTGTCCACACTTGGAAAAACATTAGTGAAATTTTTCAGTGCCCCTCCAGGGAAGAAGGGGGAGCCTTAGAGGAATCTGGTTCATCCACCCAAGTTCCTAGAATTTGGAAGAAAGAAGAAAAATTTCAGTTCTGGCAGAAAAAAAGATGACAGGTTGAGTGTGCTTGGGAAATGGGAAGGATGGAGGATGGAGTAGTGAGGTTCATTTGCTAGGGACAATGACCTGGCCTAGAAGGTCTTTCAGGAGAATTTCCTGAGACTGGTTGTGGTGTAGGAAAGGAGCCCCCTATTTCCTAATGCCCTTTCTTAGGGCAGGTGGAAAAGATGCTGGCAGAGTGAGTCAGGACACCTGCTTACCTGTGGACCTTTCAGCAGAGCCACAGAGGCTAATCATATGCCTGGCACTGTCCCCAAGTGCTTCCCATGTTTCCATCCCCACCATGATCCTATTAAACAGGTACCACTACTGTCATCCTCTCATTATACATGGGGAAGCTGAGGCTCACTCAGAAGTATTAAATAACTTGCAAAAGTCCTACAGCTAGTAAATGATGGAGCTGGGACTGGGGTCCATGTTGTCTGGCTCCAGCATATGCTTCATGGAGACTATGCTGCCTAGGAGAGGATACTAAGGTAAGGGAGATGGAATGTGTGTGTATGGCAGAGGGGTCGGGGGGGGGCAAATATCTGAAGACAATTATTCAAAAAGGCAAAAATGTGGAATGTCCCAAACTTGTCCAGACTCATTTTTTTCCTCATTCCCCCTCTCCTGGGAGACTGAGAAGCTGGCCTGGGTGACTACCTATTCATGACTGGACCTCCCACTGGTTTCACTTCTACAGCAGCAGGCAGGGTCCCGAGCCTCCTATCAATGCAGATATGGGGCAGGTTCTTCTCAGGACTGCTGAATGGGGACTGGCCAGTGGAATTACTGCTCAGTAGACAGCTGATTTTGACTGAGTCCTAAAGGGAACAGGGGACTGGGATATATGTCCCAGTCTGAGGAGATATCCAAACCAGACAGTGAGTCATCTTGGGGACAATCATGCCATGTCATGGGTAGCCTCCACCTTCCCGTGACTGTCATTAGATGCCTGGCAGGTGTCTTAGATAGATAAATAATAATAACAGTAGTTAACATGGACCAGGCCCTGCTCTTGATACTTTATATACATTCACTGATTTAATCGTCACAACAACCTTGTGAAATAGGCATTATTGTTATCCCCACTTTACAGATGCGGAAGCTGAGACTCGAACAGATTAAATGACTTGCCTTAGGTCCCACTAATAGAAACAGTATAGCAGTGAATGATCCTATCCAAGTGGTTGTGAGTGTATGCGTTTTATCACTCTGCCCCTATTTCAAAAGCATTCAGACAACTCCTACAATAGGGAAAAGCCCATTCTTAGAGCCATGTCAGGAAAGCCAGGAAGGAACTGGCAGATGGTGGAAGAGGTACTACAGGGCCCCTGATAGTCTGTCCATGCTGTGAATTCACAGCGTGAATCCTCCCCTGTCCCATCAGGCATGTGGTAGGAGTTTCCACGGAACAGTCAACGAGGGCTTCTCAGACCCCAAATTTGACTCTAAACTGTGTTTCTCCCACCATGGCCTCTTGGCTGAGCTCTGCAAACGCTAAGCCCACAGCTTTTATAATTTTCCACAGAGCCTAAAACTCTTATGTCTAAAACTGCCTTCCTGCACCAGGGGACCCCCACTCCTGCCATGCCTCTCCCAGCTGCTGGAATCCCACCACTGCCTAAGCAAGGAACTATGGTAGACCCCTCCTTCTCCCACATCCAATCAGGCACCAAGCCTGGTTAGTTCAACCAATGGCACATCTCTTGGGTCACCAGGAGTGATCTTCTAGCACTATGGTTAGTCACTTCATAGACATCTTTTATCCTCCAAACAACTCTTATTTATAAGTGAGGAAACTGAGGCACAGAAAGATGTCACACAGATAGTAAGTGTAAAGCCAGACTCAGGCAGTCTAACTGCATAGTCCATATGCTTAACCACTGTTTTGTACTGCAAACTGCCCTCCCGCCACTGCCATCCCTGATTGCTACTCTCAGCCTTGCCTTGTCAGTCCTTCCCAGGCAATGCCACAAGTATCTTGAAAGAATCTAATTCACCAACAACATCTACTGTAGGTGCCAGGAACTCTACTGTAAAACTGCAAGATCCTGTCCCAAAACTTCAGGAACACACAGCCGGGTAGAACTACCTTTTATCTCTCTAACACACTGATCTGATTGGGTCTCCCTACCCAGCCCACTGTCTATCATAAAGTAGATGCTTCATGATGGTGGGTGGAGAGCAAATGAGAGGAAACATAGAAATCAGCTGGTGCTAGTTGTGGACCTATACCCTGCAGGGTAGGGGATGGAAGTGAGAGGGGATGATTTTCCAGGTCTTTCTTCCTTCCTTCCTTCCTTCCTTTCTTCTTTCTTTCTTTCTTTCTTTCTTTCTTTCTCTCTCTTTCTTTCTTTTCTCTCTTTTTGACAGTGTCTTGCTATGTAGCCCAGGGTGGCCTCAAACTCAATGTCCTACTGCCTCAGCCTCCACAGTGCTGGGGGTTAAAAGCATGCATCACTGTGCCTGGCTCCAGTTCATTTTCGAGTATTTCCTTTCACTCTCTCTCTCTCTCTCTCTCTCCTTACTGCTTCCTGTCACTTACTCTTTTCTCTTGTCCTGTGCTCCAAACTTTGCTCTCAAGGCTCAGCCATGTCATTTGAGGTTGAAGGAAGTTGTAAATAATAAGTCTTCAGGAGGACAGCAGAAAAAAGCCAGCTTGGAGACAAAGCCTGAAATAAAGTACTAGACTTTTACTTTGGCCATGGTTGATCAACCATAGGGAAAGATTGAGATGAAAAACCAGGTCTCCTTGTCTGGACTCTACCTTCTGGTTCTGCCCACACTCCTTCCCCAAATGGTGGTTCCAGTCCAGTTCCCTGTCTCCTCCCCCTCCCATTCCTGGGGTGGGGGCAGAGGGAGGCAGCTGAAATGTTGATGGACACCAAACCAAGCCTTCCTAGGACTAACAGGTCCAAGCCAGTCACTCACTAGCCATTTATGACAGTGATGGTGGCAGAAGAGAGCTAGATTCCTATCTTTTCTATGTGGAAGAGGTGGGCAAGCTGGAGCTCTCAGACAAGGCTGGGGACCAGCAGGGAGCTTGCCATGGCAAGAGGGGGTACCCCTACTTTCCTGGAGATACATTCTTCTGGCTGGTACTCAAACTCCCTGTATGTGACAGGGATAAGGAAACAATCACTGAACAGACCTGTGGCAGTGATGGTGGTGGCTAGAGGGTGAGAGAGCTTGGGAGAAGACAGGAGAGTAGGAGAAGAGACAGGGCCAGGTATGGAGGTGCCCCTGAAGTGGGGAGCAGCTCTGCTACTCAGGTAAATTTGATGTCACATGAATATGCAGAAATTAGTCACTGCTTTCTCTCCCCCCAGCTTCTGCTTTTCAAGGAGAGAGATAGAGAGACAGAGAGAGAGTATGTATGTATGTGTCTGTCCATCCCAAATTCCCAGGAGACACTGCATCTGACCTTGAGTACAGTGCTCTGAAATGGCTGCTCCATTCCAGTGGTGGCCACTTCCCTCAGACTTGCTTTCCCCCTTACTCCTGTACCTTATGCTCTTCCCCACCAATACCATTCCCCCTCACCTTGTGGGCTGGCCATCTGCACTACCTAGTACCTCCTCCCTACTTCCTCTTCCCATCGCTCCAGCCTTCCCCAAACTCTGGACTCAAGGTTCCCATCCTCCAACCCATATCAGGCGCACAGCCATTGTTCAGCCTCAAACCCTGCCCTCTGGTTTCAGACACTTGGCAGGGGTG